CAGCATCAAGGCAGATAGTTTAAATCCACCAGCTGCTTCACAGGGGAAAAGATGAGTGGTCTCCTCAGTTGATAGCCTCTACAAACCTGCTGGAGAGGCAGCTTTGAGACATTGTGGCTCGAGGGTACACAACACGGTGATAATACAGAGCTGAGCCTATCCATGGTGAGAATGGTCCAGATAGGGAAAAGGCTCACATCTGTTAGTTCTAGGGTTACCATGAATTGTCATCCACTTACTGGCACCTAACAACAGTAGAGGCTTCTGAAGGATTGACTGCCTGAAAGCCTTCAGTGAGGTATTTTGTAGGTCTTCTTCACATTTAATTGATTTATATATTAGTCTCTTGTCTAATATTTATTGGCTAAATATTTTTCCTCAGTTTGTATGTTTTATTTTCACTCTTTGTGAGAAGTTTTTTATCACCTAAGCATTTGCTTTTTTAGAAGATCAGAGTAATTTAACTTGTCCTTTGCTGTTTAGGTTTTGGTTGTGATTGGTAAGTCTGTTTACTCCATAAATTGGGCCTCTGAATTTGCCCCTATTTTTTTTCCTTTGATGATCTTTATAGTTTTATACATTTAGATCTATATCTTTTTTTTAAAGATCTATGCCTTCTTAGAATTCATTTTTGTATATGATGTTATGAGGGTAGGGCTCTTACATCATATTTTTGCAAATGGACACCTGGTTTTGCTCACACTGTTTTGTCGTAGATTATTTTTTCATTTACTATTTTGTGGACCTTTGTCAAAACTAGTGTACATAAGTGGATGACATTATTCCTGGTTTCTTGATTCTGTTTCATTGATCTTTGAGTATAATTGCACCAGAACCAAGCTTTGTGAACCACCACGACTGCATAACAATGTCAAAAAATCAAGAGTGGGACTTCTTTTTGTTTTTCATGAAAAATGTTTGCTTATCCAGACTCTTTCCTTTCCATGTGAAGTTACTAGTGTTACTGAGCTGACTAGGACTTAAAGAGACCCTGTGAACAACACATGAAAATCTTGCCCTTTCCTACACCATCCTCATGACTTTCAGGGTCATTATTGACGATCAGATACCACAGTTCAGAGGACTAGATTCTTCCATTTTCCTTGTTCACTGTCCAACTTTCATATACTCTAAAATAATGGAAAATGCTATGCCTTGGGTCAGGTGCAACTAAGTCTTTAAACCGACATATATGGCACTTTTCAAGAGATCCTTGACAGCAGTTTTTTAAAAATTTTTGCTGCTGCTACCATGGATGTCAGTTGTGAATCCAAGTAAAATGATGTTGTTGATGTGAATTTTTTTTTTTTGTCATGATGTTACTTGTTGGTCATGAATTGTTTTCCTTTGTTTTATTTATATAGCAGATTACGTTGATCTGCTTGATCATGATGGGTTTTGGTTTTTCAGGTTGTTAATGTAATGTTGAAATCTGTTAGTTAAGAATTTGCTTGGAATTTTTGCATCTCTGTTCATGAGGGATTGGTCTGTAGTTTTCCTGTTTCAGTTATGGCTTCGCTTGATTTTGATATCCAATTTATACTTGCCTCATGAATGAATTTTTGAGTGTTCTGTCCTTTTCCATGTTCTGTAAGACATGGAGTAGAATTGATGCCAGTTCTCTGAATTCTAGAAGTGACATGGAAGCCATCTGAACGAGACTATTTGTAGAAGGATGTTTTATGTCCTGTTCAATGTCTTCTTTTCTTTGGTTTTGTCATTTATTTTTTTTTTTTTTACTTGAATCCTTTAAATTATCTACCTCAGAATGTGTTTGGATATCTAGAAACTTGTCTGTTTTCTTTTTGTTCTTAATTTGTTAGAATTAATTCCTCATGGTATTATATTATTTTTAGTCCCGTTGGTTCTGTTTCATTTCATTATTCATGTTAAAGAACCAATTTGTAATCTTGTTTGTTCTTCCTACAGTTTTCTACATAATTTATTTCTACTCTAATCTTTATTCTTCTGGAAACTGGGAGTTTTTATTTGTTTTCAGATTGTTGGAGTTGATGGATTAAAGTATTTAATTTTTTAAATATGTTAGAAATTATTTTCCAAATTAGTTTGATTAATAACTCTTAAGGGAATTCTGGTGGCCTAGTGGCAAGAAGGTGTGCTGCAATCCCGAAAACACGTGGCTCAAGGCCACCAGCTTCTCGATGGGAGAAGGATGGGCAGTAATAGCCTCTGAAAATCCGCCTGAGGGTCAGCTATGTATGGGTCATTTCCAACTCTTTGGTACACAACAACAGCAATTCTTTAACTATTTAGAAACCTCGCCTAAAGTTAAATTGATGGGAGAAAACTTTTATATATGAGAGATCTAAATGCTGAATCCTAGGGTGCCCTTATGGCCTTGTGGGTAAGAAGCTGAACTGCCAACCCAAAGATGAGATGATTTCCAGTGAAAATCGAGGCAAGGGGAGAGAGGGAGAGATGGCCAGTCTCCCTTTGTTCAAGCCTCGCAAAACCCTTTAGAGGTTCAGCTTTGAGTTGGTTTTATCTCCACCACACGTAACGTCAAATGTTAAATTCATCTCTGTCACTACCTAGCTATGTAATTTTAACTAAACCTGTTCTTTGGGCCATGAAATTTAAAATTGAACTAGACAATCTGATTTAATTCTAAATTGCTGTTTTCATACGATTCTGAGAAGAATAATTAGAGTCTAGGTTGGTTGGTTGGTTAATTATATTTATGGTTTTGTGTTCGCACATTATTGCAAAGAAAATAATTTGATTCAGAATTTTAGAAGCAATCTCTGTGTATCTCAGAATCTATTATGTTATCCAAAAAGGGCATTGACACAAAATTTTATTTATATAACTAATATTTTTTTTTTTAAAAAAATTTAAATGTAAGCTCTTAAAGCAACATGGAAAAGCTGAAATGGTGTAAAAAGACTAGTTTGATTACCTGAGAGATAAGACTTGGAGGCTAACACTGCAACTTCATTTATTATGGGCTGTAAACCATTAAACAGTTGTTTTCCAAGTAGGCTTATCAGAATATTGCTTTTTCAGAAAATAGAAAAAGTTACTGTACCTGAAAGTTTTCCCCTGATAGCTATGTAGTAGTACTTTATGTAGTGGTAAACTCACAAATAGTGAAACTGGTAACAATTTAAATGAGAAGTTGCATTTACCAAGGAATTAAAAGCTGTTTTCCGTAGAAAATACTCAGAATAAAAAAGTTATAACAACCTCAGACAAAAAAGAGGAAGACTGGTCAGGGAGACTTGAAGCAACATGAAACTTGTAAAAGACATGAATGGAGGTGAATTGGGACCCGCCCAAAGCTACAATATTGAGACTGTGTGGAAAAAGCCCATTTCAAGGGTAAATGAAAACCTCCCCTGCATTTGCAGTCCAGTCCCTCTGAAGAGGGGTGGCTCAGGCTCTAGGAGAAGTCAGCCAGGCACAGGCCGTTCCGAGTGGGACAGGTGAAAGGCTTGGGCTCGCTCAGGGCTTTCCCTGAGTGGCTTCACTTGATATTGAGTAGGAGAGCCTGTGTGATTCTCCGTGATTGTACTGGGTGGTTTTCATTCTTCTTCTTTTTTTTCCTTCATTTTTTTTTTTCACCTAATTTCGAAAAGTGATTAAGAGATAGATAGTATTTCATGGATGCTCCACAGTCAGAAAAGTACAGGTATATGGAGTATATGTCCTTCACATGTTATTGTTTGATTCTACTGTTCAGCTTCTAGGTAGGCATTACTGCTACAATCATTCTTAGAAATGTAATTAAACTTAAGAGAAATTGCATTTCATGAAAGTGGAATTTGACGATTATGAGGTTTGACAACATAATTTTTAAAGCTAGTTTTGATGGAAAACTCTAGAGGGAATTTCTGTATTTATGTTAGTATTTTGTTTATAACCCATTCTTGTGGAAATTATAAAATAGAGATGAGTTAAAGTAATTTGTTACCTACAGAGAACCACAATTAACATTTCGATGTGTATTCCTTATCTTTATTCACACAATTCATATTAAATATAATTGTTCAGTTCATACTCCGCATTTTTTTAATTTCTCCCTTTAAACAGTGCTTCAATAAAAATCTCAGATTCATTTCCTTCAAGTTTTGGCCTTTGGCCTGACTGTTGTTTTTCGGAGGTTTTAAGTTGTCCATCTTTCTCCCGCAGAGCAGCAGGTGGATTTAAACCACCAGAGAGGTGGTTAGCACCTTTGGTTAGTAGCACACCCTCTGTGGACCACCAGAGCTTCCTAAACAATGCTTAAGAAGATGAACCTTTTTTTTTTAAGTGCCCAGTTGCTAAGGGCCAGCGAATTGAGCTCATCAGGAACTCAGCTGGTGATGGGAGTCGTGTGCTGCTTTGTATCTGTAAAGATTACTGCCTTGCATACAGGCAGTTCTGCTCTTTTTTTTATCAATTGGCTTGCTGTGGGTTAAAATCCACATGATGGCAGCATCTTAGGCTTTTCTGTTAGGATCTGTTAATATACTTAAGAGTCACCAGTATGAACATTGAGTGTTGTAGGGCTTTGTCATTGAGTTACATGCTAGTGGACAACTGGAGCATGTAGCACTATACCTAATGACCTTAGGAGATCTCGAGTTTTCGTATTCATCTACTGCCAGTCTTATCCACCCTTTTAGAACCCTTCTCGGTCTTTCTAATAGGCTATGAAGTGAAAGTAGAATCTCTTGACAATTTTTGCGGGGGGCGTTTTGTGATCAAATTTAAGGGTAAATATCTCTCAAAGTTAATATATGTGTTCATGCATGATTTGTAACTAATTTTTTTTTATTGTGGAAAAATTACAGTTAAATGAGGTAAAGAGTATTTTAACACTGGATGGTGTATTTATGTTTTTAAATTTTATTACATTAATATCTTGGCATTTTAAGTAATATAATTAAAATGCTATTGAGATTCCAGCTACATTTGTTAGAAATCAATCACATAAATAATTGTAATCGTGTGTCTTCATCTCTATTTCCCGGTAATTACCATCTTTTCTCATGCAGGAAGATGAGAAGTTTTTGTCTGAAGTTTTTGCCCAGTTAACAGATGAAGCTACAGATGATGATAAACGGCGTGAACTGGTAATTATTGACTCTTAACATTCAGATTCCTAAAATGTACTAACTCTTTTGACATGAGCTACTTTTAAAATTATTTTGGTGCTTTATTTTTAAATTTTTTGTTTATTGGGACTTGAATGAGAGTTACAAATCATATTTCTCATTCAGTCAATCATACATTAATTATGATGTCTGATCAGCCCCTAGTTGTATATTGCTTTTCCTTTCACCCAGCTTATTATGTTCTGATTTTTACTGCCTTAACTCTTCCTACTCATCCTGGTTAATCGTGAAGTTGCCTTAACTTTTTATACTAATGGTCTTACACAGTAATTTTTCTTTCATGACTCTCTCAGCATAATTTCCTCAGATCATCCATGTTATACAGTGTTTTGTGAATTCTCTATTCTTCTTTAGTGTGTGAATGCACTGTAGTTTGTTCATCACTCATCTGTTATGGTGTCTTGGGGTTGTTTTCATCTTTTTGCCCTTGTATGTAATGCTGTAATAAACATGTATGTGCATATAGCTGTTCATGTGGCAGCTCTTCTTTCTGTTAAGATTTTTTTTTCTAACTTAGTAAAAAAATTGCTAGGGAACTCTGATGGCCTAGTGGTTAAGGAGTTGTGCTGCCATCTCAGAGGTAGATGGTACAAATTCACCCATTGTTCCAAGAGAGAAAACCTCCTGAAAGGTCAGCTAAGTCATTTCCAGCTCACAATGAAAGAGTCACTAAGGTTGCTGGGTCAAATGGGCTTTTTAATGTCAGCTTTCTAAGCAAGTGCCTTATATAGTAGTTTGACAGTTTTCCAGTCCTACCAGTAACGTGTGCGACGTCTAACCCTCTCCTGCAGTTCACTTTTTGTTTACCCCCCTATTGAACTGGACTGTTGTTAGTGGGGTAAGAAAATGTCCCTTTGTTTTGATTTGCATGTAATAGTTAATGATCATTGATGAAGTGACTTCTCTTGTCTTCAATTTAAAGATTAGTTGACCTTACGTGGATGAGTTCTTTTCTGGATTCTGTATTCTGTTGCATTGATGCAAAGTATTTCTTTGTAGTTTGATGATTTTCAGCCCTTCATTGGTTAGTGCAAAAGGCAGAAATGATGAAATATAGCTGACAATAAGACTTTTTTAAGGACAGGTAATTGTGAAGAATAGGAATTCCAGAACACTTAATTACGTTTGTGTGGCACCTAAACATAGTCCAAGAAGCAGTGATTTGTACAGAAAAAAAGGGGATGCTAAATGAGGAAAGGTGTGCCTCAGTGTTACATGCTTTCACTGTGCTTTTTCAGTCTGTATGCTGAGCAAATAATCCAAGAAGCTGCACTATACATACAGAAGATCCTCGGCGTCAGCATTGGAGATTTGGTACAGCCTGTAACCACTACACAGGTGAAACACCCATGCTTGAGAAAAATGAAGACTCAATAAAAAGAACACTTCAGTATGGATCATACTGTAACTAAAACAAAACTCCATACAACTGCACCAGTAAATAACAACCTATTAGAGGGAGATAGGATTGAAATTGTCGAGAATATGATTTAACTTAATCAACAATTGGTGCCCGTGCAGCCAGCAGTCAAGAAATTAAGTGGCCTGTTGCGTTGGTCAAATATGCTGCAAAACTTTATTTGAAAAGTGCTCACGAGCCCAGCATGTTATTCAGGGACTGAAAAGTGTGCCTGGTGGAGCCATATTATTTTCATTGTTGCATATGCCTGTGAAAGTGAATAAGGAAGATTAAAGAAATTGATTTGCAGTGTGGTGATGGCAGAGACTATGGAATGAGTATAGACTTCCAAGACAGAAATGTGTCTTGAAAGACCTGGAGGCATAATGCTTCTTGAAAGCAAGGATGGTGAGATTTTACAGTCCCTCGGGAAAGGCATCATGACAAAGTAGAGCATCAGCAGAGAAGAGGTCGACCCTCCCCAAGACGGATTGATTCATTGGCAGCAAAGATGGGCTCAAGCACAGCGGAGCTAGTGGGGCTGGCACAGAAACAACCGGCTGTCATCTAATCACGCACTACTGCTGCTGAATGTCTTATTGTGTGTTTGGTCATTTAACCACCATCTTTGGTGGCGTGTCTGTTTATGTCCTCCGCCTACTTTTAATGGCTTTTTTGTCTTTTTTGTTTTGGACACAGCTTGTAATACTGAATTTATTAATCTCTCTTAATTGGTTCTTTCCAGCCTTTTTAAGTGACAATTTAAGTGAATGTATACAAAGCATGTTCTTTTTCCCACGATCCACGTGTATTTTCTCCTAGAACCTTCATTACAGTTTCCGTAATAATTGGTCATCCACGCATTTGGTATTGTCTTGCTCTTCATCAACTTAGTGAATAGTAGTTTCTTAATTTTCTACTCCCTACTGCTCTGTTGTCCCTTCCCTTGCCTGTACACATGATTCTTTCTGTTTTTAAGCCTTTCTTAGCATTTTATAAAGGTGATCATTTCCAGTAATTGTCCTTTTGTGGCTGGCTGACTTCTCTCAGCAGCATCCTCTAGATCACCTGTGTTATTCAGTGTTTCACATGATCTTTGTTGTTTTTCAATGTTGAGTGGTACTCTCTGTTGTGTAAACAGACCATAGTTTCTCTATGCATTTGCTTGTTGAGTGTTCTTGGTTGTTTCCATCTCTTTGCTGGTGTGAATAATGCTGTAGTAAATAGGAGTGTGCATATATGTTTGTGTTACAATTCTTTATGACATAAACCTTCTAGTAGAATACCTGGGTCAAACAGTGTTTTAATTTTCAACTGTTAGAAGGAAATGCCAAACTGCATTCCCCAGTGACTGCACCGTTTTATATTCTCACAAGCAGTGTATGAGAGTTCTGATCCCTGCACACTTAATATCATTTGACGTTTGCTGTGTTACTGAACTTTACTGTTATGCTGGGGTGAGGTAATCTCGTTTCTGTTTTGATTTGTGTCTCTAAAAGCTAGTGATCTTCTGGATTTCTTCATATATATCAATGCCAAATTTTTCTTCTCTAGTCCATAGATTCTCATTTTACTCTTAGAGAAATTTTTTTTTCCTGTACTTAGGGACTGACTTTCTATTTTATTGTCTGCTGATTGTGCATCTTTTATATATTTGATAGACTGTTTAAGCTGTAGATTAGGGCTCCAAAATTTGCTCCTGTTTTTTTCTCCAATGAGCTTTGCAGGTTAAGATTTTACCCCTAAGTCTTTGACCCAACTTGAGTTAATTTATTTTAATAAAGTGTAAAGTATGGATCTTCTTTTACTTTACTGCAGATAGGTTCCTTTTTACCAGTACCCTGTGTTAAAGAGGCAGTCTTTTCCCATTTAATCCTTATTCCATTGGTGTGTGTTATCTGTGGAGCAAGACCCTGGTGATGGTGGTGGGGAGACTGGCATTGATGTGGAGAAACTGTGGCATAACCAGAGAAGCCCTGAGATGAAGGCCACAGTTAAAAATGTTGCTGTGCTTGACGGATACTTAAAGAGAAACGGATTTATAAATTCTTTGAGGTAAACCTTGCTGCTGAACTGAAACTGGAGTCTGGACTGTGTGAGGAATTGTGCCTTGGGACTGCTGGGCTAAAACCTGGATTTGCATTGGGGTGATATTCTTGGTCACCCCCACTCTCCATCTTTTTTCCTCTAATAAACCCCATTCTTGGTACCACAACTCTGAGTGAAGTCTGTGAGTCAACAATGAATAAATGAACTTCTTGGTGCTGGTGTTGCTCTAGAGGACAGTGGGGCTGGACTACGGGCTCTTTTTCTGCTTTCTCTTCTGGGACTGTAAGAGGCTGCACTGTTCTCACTCCCGCTGGCCCCTTCAGAGAGACATGGCTCTGGGCCCCCATGTCCTGTTTTTTTGTTCCTTGGGGAATTCTGCCACTGTACCAGTATCAGGCAGTTACGATTCTAGCATGTGGTATGGTAGGTTTTGAGATCAGAAAGTGTATGGCCTCCTGTTTTCTTTTCTTCTTCACTATCACTTTGCTTATCCAGGATTTCTTTTCTTTCCATATGATGTTGATGATTATATTTTTCATCTCTTGGGAATAAAAGCTGGTGGCATCTGCATTGGGATTGCATTATACCTGTGGATCTCTTTGATACTAAGACTACCATTTTTACAGAGTTTGGTGTGCCTATCTTTACTCATAGTATTCCCCAAAGACATCTACAGATATAATGCAGTCTCAACTTAATGGTAACAACATGGTATACTTTTTTCTATTTATGTAAGTTTCTTATCTTTTAAATGTGTTTTGTCATTTTGTTTGTATAGGTCTTTTGTGTCTCTTGGTCAACTAAGTATTTAATCTTTTAAGTGACTGCTGTATATGATCCTGTTTTCTTTACTTCATTTTCAGTGTTTTCTTTTACTGTAGTGGAATTCAGCTGGTTTTTTAAATGTTGGTCTTGAACCCTGCTGCTTTGCTGAATGGTTCCTTTAGATGCAATCATTTTCTTGCCAAATCTTTGAGATTTTTCTCAGTACAGGATTGTATCTGCAAAAAAGAGGTAGCTTTACTTCCTTAATTTGATAACTTGTTATTTTTTTGCCATAATTCCTCTAAGACTGTTCATACATCATTGAAAGTAGTGATAAGAAGGCTTTCTAGTCTGGTAGCAGTTGCAAGGGAAATTCCTTTACTCTTTCTGAGTGTAATTTTGGCTGTTGATATGTATATATGCTCTTAATTATGTTGAAGAATTTCCCTGCTATTCCTATTTGGTTTTTGTTTTATTTTTTTATTTAGCAAAACAAGTGAAAGAAGTAATTAAGGTAAGGCACAGGTTGGTGAAAGACAGGCCATGCAAAAGAGTTAAGAACAACTGAAAGAGAGGAAACATCCCTGGAAAGTTGGGGGTGGGCCCAAACCTTATGGCATGCTGCCAACAGAAGGAGAGCTGTTCCCTACTATGACCAGGAATGGGATTGGGCTTTTTTAGAAGACGTGTATTTACATTAAACTTTAAATTCCTTTTTTCCAGAGTTTTCAAATGTGTTGTGGTCTATATTTTAGAAAGGTCCAATGAAGTGAATTTTTCTATGCTTTACTAATCCTGTAATCATAAAAGTATTTTATACTGTCACAGAACTTTAAACTGGCACATTTTAATGCTTGTAGATGTTTTACATAAACTTCTGTTTAAATTTGAAGGAGAATGCTTCTGAATAAATCATTTGCTCTTTTGGAAGTGTGTTTGTTTTTGAATGTGTATTAAGTACTTTATTATGAAACAGTCCATGTTTTGAGGAAATATTCCTATTTTCCACCTGCTTTGTCATGTTTTTCACCACTAGAAACATATTTGAGATTCCTTTTTTGATTTTATTTTACTATTTTTTGTGTGTGTGCCATCAAATCGGATCTGACTGATAGAGAAGGATAATGTCCCTCCATCTCCAGCAGAGCATCTGGTAGATTTGAACCTTGTGCCTCTGGACTGCAGTACAGCTTCCTGCCACTAAGTGGCAACCAGCACTCCCTCATATTTGAGATTCTAAGAAGTAATGAAAAACTTTTAACTTAAAATCATTAATCGTATTTCATCTAATTACTGATTAGTATCCTACTCTGTTTTCTCATTTATAGAATTAATGTTTTATACTAGCATCTTTTCTAGTTTTTTAAACTGAAACATTATTTGAGGACTCCTTGGGGATCCAGTCACAGCTTATTTAGTGTAGATTTGTTCTGAAACTGCTCTGAATACAAAACAGCATGTTTACAATTCATTTGTATATCCAAAGTTACATGTAAAAGCTTTTTCTAAGACTGTGCATATATCTCTGTTGAGCTAACTAAGCATATATGTATGTGTTTTTAAACTGACTGAACAGTTATTTAACTATATATATAGAGAGAGAGAGAGAGAGAGAGAGAGAGAGAAGAGTGTGTTTGTGTGTGTGTGAGAGAGAGATTTCTTTCAGAAGTTAATGTCAGTGACTCAAGAACAAAATTGTCCATTTAGGAGAACCAGGATACTCTGCAAAGAAGAAGCCCAGCAGGATTCTGTTCTCTGGAGTAGATCTAATTACAGAGTTATTTTCACATTATGTTTGTCAACGTCTAACTGTGATTTCTAACATTACAGGTTAATTTTTTCAAGGAATTCTGTGCATTTTCTCAAACCTTACAACCTCAAAACAGGGATGCATTCTTCAAAACTTTGGCAAAATTGGGAATTCTTCCTGCTCTTGAAATTGTAATGGTAATTATATAGTTTCTTCTCATATATTTGAAATGATACTATAAGTGGGAAAACATTTTAGTGATAATGTTAAATTTCATACATTAGGTTCTTGAATACAATTCTACACGTTTTTGCAAAACTTCTCTGTTCTATAATAACATTACATTAAGAATGTTTTCAAAGAAACCAATGCACTGTCTTTATAAGTGAGACCATGAGTGGACTTTGAGCAGACTACACATTCTGCACGAGGGAGGCCAGGGTCACATTGCAGTCTTAGGGGAGCAGATTGTAAACTTGCATTAGTTTTATCCAGAGACACTTACTATATGAAAAATTGTGTATTTAAAATACTTAAGTTTAAAAAAACAAAAGAACAAAAACAATTAAGGATGATTACATTTTATAAATCCTTTAGTGTCTGGATTAATGATATAGTTTCTTCTTTTTAAAGTGTCTTTTAATCTAGTTTGGACCCACACCTTATCAGTCTACATATCTGCTGTTACTTAAAAAAAGAACTATTAAGAGCCCAGTACCTGCAATTTCCTTAGTGAATCTAGACATATTTTCTATATTAATCTGAGTAGTGATATATATTTTAATTTTTATGGCAGATAATCTTTCACACAGGTGTGGAGATGTCATTTTGTGGGGCAGACACTGTTGACAAACCCCTATTTTTGAGGCTGAGATGAGAAGTAAAGCAGGTGAAAAGCAAAGCTGACACTGATATGTTCTCTGAGGTAGCTGTCCACCTGCCACCATCAAAGGGCTTCTGCAAAACCTGGAAATAACTCTTCTAAACCCAATCTTAGAACCTTTTCCTAGGTATCATTAGAGCATTTTAAGAAAAATCACTGCTCAGCTATTCTTGTGAACCAGCTCTAAAAAAGACTATGAATTCTTAAAGACTTTTTTCCATTCCATCACATCTTTTGTTAAGCTAGGTGAAGAGCTTTAGACCAGATTAAGTTCAACATAAACTGCCATTCTGTTAGTACAGTTATTTCCTCATAAAGTTCTTTGTGCTGACATTTCCAGTGTTGAGAAAGGTACTGCTATTAGCCATATTAATTGTATCACCAAAGGTTTTCTTTGTCCTCATCTTTTTCTGAAGAAGGAACAACAGCCTGAGAGGTACAATTCAGAAGATAAACCGTAGCATGAAGCCCCCCTATGTTCACCCAGACAATATGCACCTTCTGCCACACGGATAATGCCTTGGTAAAGAACTTGTCCTGAGTTAGGAGCATAGCGCAGCCAGTCCCAGGCGTACAGACACGGCTCGTCTCCTGTAGACAAGCTGGGTAAAGGTTTCAGTTTCTCTTTTTGGAGTCCATTCTCTTCCCAAATGGCATGTCTGTTATAATAATATCTAGAGAATAATATCTTAATGGCAGATTGCAGACATTCCACTGGACAGCATCTATGGGCAGGCCCCAAATTGGTTTGCATTCCCAAATTTGGTTCTTGATCAGTAGAGAAGAGATTTTATTTACAGCTCTATTCATAGCCAATTATTGTCACCACCAATATAATGACAGACAGTAGCCCACAGTGAGTGGATCAACTATTAAATCAGATGGTTGAGGAGAGCAAAGCCTGAGCATTCCATAGGCAAAAGCGGACCTAAGCGTTGTGAGCCCAAATTGTGTGATAGTTCTTCGATGAAGAGACTCTTCTGTCAACGCAGTGCCCACAACTACGTCAATATTATGGATATTCAAAAGAACCTCTACATCAAAGTTTGTCATGTCAGCTTTCCACTTATTCTTGAACAGCACCCCCAAAACCTCTGACAGGCTCATTAGAAGTAAACCATGATTGTCCCCTGCCCTGTTGCATGTGACTCTAAACTTGAGCACCTGTGAGGCACTTTCTTCTTTTGAGCTTTAATCAATCTCATCTTCCTGTGAAGAGGCCAAATGATCACCTACTAATGTTGCAGTCTCCTCTTTAATGGCTGGATTTTCATAATAGTCTAAAGATACCTAACTCCAAGGCATTAACTTGCAACCTTCTGAACGTCTCCTCTGTTTTTCCTCCCAGTCCATTATTAAATTTTTCTTTGCTTATGTTTTAATTTTTTTTTTTTTTGCGCTTTGCTTTTTTTCTTCTTGAAATTAGTTTTCCACACTTACAGTGGGCTTGACCATGAAAGCTTCCTAGCCAGTTCTTCAAAATCTTTGAGAACTTCTTCCTTAGTTTCTTTGAACTGATAATCTTTAAACTCCTGAACAACCACAGATAAATTGTTGACTGATCTCAAACAATGAATTTTAGCAAGACTTTCCATTGTAACATCAAAATATATCTTCCCCCGTCCTTACTGATTTTGCATGATGACTCAAGTTTCTCTCTCAAAACAGTGGCGACTTTTTTTTTAATTAATTGTTACAGTGCATGCAGCCCCTAGAAGGTTTCATTCTACCCTGTCTAGAAAGAGAATGAAAAAGATAAATTGCATCCCCTAGTAGTGTTATAAAAAGAATTTAATTTATGCACTTGAAAAGCTGTTGACCACACTATATACATATATATATCTCACCCCAACCCCAGTCTTTTCAAAAGCGTCTATTAAGAGAATCTCAGAAGATAGATTCACTAATGTTGGCATGTCAGGGCAAAATTCAGATTCAGCATTGTTTTCATTAGGGAAGATCATAGATATTTTTGCATATATTTGGAATAGAGACACTGTACCCCACAAAATTATAATTTATAATCCCAGGATGATTCTTACATTTAAATTATCTGAATATTTATCTTAGCTTGACAAAAACTGATGATTGATTTAAAAAGTCCATGTTTTGATTCCAGTAATGCCTCCGTCGTAAAGGATGTAGATTTGAGAAAGAAAAGGAGAATGTAAGAAGAGTTGCTCATGTGTGTGTCTCTCTCTCAGGAACCTAATTTTTCTTCTTCTCTGTCACCCATAGGGTATGGATGATTTGCAAGTCAGATCAGCTGCTACAGATATATTTTCTTATCTAGTAGAGTTCAGTCCATCCATGGTTCGAGAGTTTGTAATGCAAGAAGCCCAGCAAAGTGATGATGTAAGTGATAATTGTGAACTATCTATAATGTGACATTTGTAAACTATTGAGAGAAAAGACATGAACAGTAATCTTACTGTTTTTAAAGCCCAATAATAGACTTATGATCTGTTGGAATTTTGAGAAAACTCAAAATGTGTACCAGTTGATTCATTGAGGGGTAAGAAGCTGTGCTACAGCCCCAAAGGACTTGGTTCTGACTGCCAGTTGCTCTCACAGAGAAGAATGGGCAGTGTCCTTTCATGCAACTTACTGCCTTTGAAAATCCACTGGGAGGTCAACTATGGGTCAGTTCCATCTAGACAGCACACAACAAAAACCACAGTATTAGCACTAGTTTTTGTATATGGTTTTCTGGAAATAGGTATCTGTCTACTTTTGTCAGCATCATTTGTTAAAGAGACTGTCTCCATTTAATGGATTTGATGTTTTTGTCTTAAGATCAGTTGTCCATAGGCAGGTGGATTTGTTTCTGGGTTGCACTGATCTGTGATTTATATAACCAGTTGTTCGGATTATTGTGTCTGTGGAGTAGGTTTTGAAATCAAGTGATGTAAGGCCTCCTTTGCTATACTCGGACCAGGAGGCAGTCCTTTCAGAACCGAGAAAGGAAACACTGGTCCAAAATTAGAAAAGGAGTGCGTCATAATGTGTCCTATCTCCTTACCTTTTCAGTCTGTATGTAGAACAGATAATTCAAGGGGCTAGACTTTATGAGGAGGAATGAGGTATCTGGATTGGAGAAAGAATCATCAGTAGCCTGCATTATGCAGATGACACAGTCTTGGTTGCTGAAACTTAGAAGGACCTGAAGCATTTACTGCAGAGAGTCAAGGACTGTAGTCTGCAATATGGATTGAAGCTTAACATCAAGAAAACAAAGATTCTCAGCACTAGGCCAATTGGTAACATCATGATAAATGGAGAAAAGATTGAGATTGTTAACAATTTCATTATGCTCAGTTACACAATCAACATATTTGGCACCAGCAATGAGGAGATCAAAAGATGAATTCCATTAGGAAAATGTGCTATCAGGAACCTCTCGAGAGTGCTAAAGAGCAAGTGATGTCAGTCTAAAGACTAAAGTGTACCTGATCCAGGCCATGATCCTAGAGAGCTGGACAGTAACCAAAGATAAGAGGAGAAGAATAATTGCCGTGTATTATGGTGCTCGTGAAGAGTATTGAACATACCATAGACTGGGAAGAGAACTGACAGGTCTGACCTGGAGAGGATGAAACCAACCAGTTCCTTGGAAGCAAGGATTTTGAGGCTCCAGCTCACACACTTAGGGCATGTTTCCAGGTGGAGAAGGACATCATGCTTGGAAAGGTGGAGGGACAGCACAGGAGAAGACCCTGGATAAGATGAATTGACAGTTACTGGGGTATTGAGGAGAGGTGTGTCAGTGACCATGAGATTGGCTTAGGGTAGAACAAGATTGATTGATTGATTGATTGATTGATTGATTGATTGATTGATTTAATATGAAGTTGGTGACTTTTTCCATTTCTTTGAAAAATGACGACTAGATCTGGATTGGAATTGTGTTTGTAGATTGTTTCTGGTAGTATTGACAATTGCATAATGTTAATTCTTCGGTCAACGAGCATGATAGATACATTTTTTTTCCAGTTGAGAGTAACTCAGTCAGTCTCCTTGCCGTTGAATCAGAACCAGATTTTACATTGCCCAGGAGGAGACTGCCCATCTTCCTCCCACAGAGCAGCTGGTGGATTTGAACTATCAGAGCAGCTGGTGGATTTGAACTATCAGCGAGGCACCACATTGGGGTCAGCGTGACTCACTGGGGACTGGGCCTCCAGGGCTTCCTGTCCCTGTTAGTGACCTTCCATATTCATATGCCAGAAACCTGGACTACTGACTAAAGCACTCAATTGGGTGTTCAAACCGCCACAAAATTACTGATACGGTTTTGCTTTGCTTTGCACTTTGATGTATTGGTTGTATTTTAAGCTGTGATGAGTTCTGCTTTTCTCTTTTGTTATTTTTGAACAAATTTTTGCTGGGTTGTTTTCACTCTCGTGTATTTATGCATCTTAGCGAGAGACAGGAAAAAAAATTACCAGCCAGTTCTTCTGTTCTTTTTTCAATATTCTTTCTCTCAGTTAATGTGTTTGTCTTTTATCCAGACGAGAGCTAACAGAAGTATTTTCTTTTAGGATATCCTTCTCATTAATGTAATAATTGAACAAATGATCTGTGATACTGATCCTGAACTTGGAGGTGCTGTTCAGCTAATGGGACTTCTGCGGACGCTAATTGACCCAGAGAATATGCTGGCAACGACTAACGTAAGAAATCACTCAAAGACAAAAAGCATTTTGGTCTGACTACTTTTAGATGGCTTTGTGATAGAACTTTAAAAATGAGCAAATCCTTAAGTATCTTACGCATAATTTCCTTGTGGCAAATCATTTGCAGCAAATACATGATCTGTTTCAATTAAAGTTTAGTAAAGTGTTGGGAAATGCCATTTATGACTATGTTCTTAAAACATAAATTCATTACTAGAAGGTTAATTCTAACAATTTCTACCAACCTTCTGGTCCTTTCTGAGGCTATAAATACGTAGGAGAGGAGATTGCCTGACTTGGAGCAGCTGATGAATTTGAACTATTTACTTTTAGATTGTTTTTGTTGGTTGTTGTTGAGTCAAGCATGACTCATAGCAAAGCTATGAACAAAAGACCTAAAGCCTTTGTATAACTACCATTGTTTCTCAAAGTTCATAGTTTCCAGAGGCATGTTGTTCAGGATGTAGCTGCCACTCCTGCTTCTAAAACTTTTAGATTAGAAGCACCAAAACATATTATACACCAGAGCTCCTTGTATATCCTTATGTTAGCTTCTAAGAATTTAATACGTGCTGATACCTTGAAAGAGTTCTAAGAAAGTCTTCCAAAATAATAGTGAGATGGGATGTTCTTATTTCATAAAATTCCCATTTAATAAGAGAATTTTTGTATTTTTTACATCATTTTAAAAAGTACGAGTTAAACCATATTTTACTATGGAAAATATTGTTGGAGAAAGATTTTAAAGTAACAGTGTAAAACTCAAAATGTTTTCATTTCAAGTGCACTGATAAATTGAATCACTGGTTTTCCAGTTGCGCATAGGTACTAAACTCACAGGTTGCCAAATTTTAAACGGTTGTGTTGCTGTCCCATCACTTGACTGGACCTTTTCCTCTGCCTTCTCAGAATTTTTTTTTGTCTTATGATTGCTTCTGTATTTCATTTCTTACAAAAAATACTTTTATTATTTCGTTGGTAAAACTTTTTCTGATGCAGTTTGAACTTTTTCTTGCTTTGATTTATACAGCTGATTTTCATTTCTCCAGAAATGAAATGGAGGTCAGGTTTAGTATTATATTGTTTCTTTCCCAGCACTTTAAAGTTTCTTTTGTTTGTATGTGATCTACACTATTTCCTAAAGATGTTAATTACAACTGTAACAACTCATTTTTTAAAAATTCTTTTATGTTTCAGAAAGCTGAGAAAAGCGAATTTCTAAATTTCTTCTACAACCATTGTATGCACGTCCTCACGGCACCACTGTTGGCTAATACTTCAGAAGACAAATGTGAAACAGGTAGGCTCTTACTTACATGTTTGGAAAGGTGAAAGAAGTGTTAGAACTAATATGCTGTTTACTTGTTGCTTTACATCAACTGACAAAGAAAACTACCTCTTAGAGTTTAACTGCAATTGATTTTTCCTTATTATTAAAGTATCTAGGGAAGAGAATGAGATAAAAGATACTGCAAAGAATATTATTACATGTTGCGGAAAGAGATTCCTCTCTAAATTGGTGGAATTGGTACCTAAAGAAATGAGGCAGAACAGTGTTTATATTAGAAAATCAGGGGAACTGTCATTTTGGAGAACAGTTTAGTAGCATACTAAAAGCCCTTTCCTTTTAGAACATGGACGTCAGAGATTCATTGAGTAGTAAAAAGTTTCTTTAAAAACACTTGACCTGGTCACTTGGGGGTCGCAGTGCTGACTTTAAGGCTACACCTCTGGCAGTTCAAATCCACCAGCAGTTCTTTGCGAAAAAGATGAGTAATCTCTTCCCATGGGATTTACAGTCTATGACATCCAGTGGAGGGTTAGCCGTGAATAGATTCTGACCCAAACAGCAATGAGTTTGAGAGTTTTTTAAATACCTTTATACAGATATGGTCAAATGATAATACATTTAGCAAGTAAGTTTTAATGTTTAGAGAATTCATGTTTTTTGTTAAAATCAGATGAAAATAGAGTGAAAACAAAGATATTTTTTAAGCAGTCTGAGTATAGAATCCTATTGGGTTCTTAATATTCCCCCCCTTGATTTTCTTAGTTAGGTGCATAATTTGTTCATTCTCTTGAGTTCTAAAACAGTTATCAGCCTGTAATGTTTAAATTTTGTAATCGTGTTACCAACCATAGCCACTGGGACTTTTGATAAGCAAACTGAGCCAATGAAATCTGAACTGGGGAGACTGTACTATAGTACACACAGCAACTCTGCATTTTCCCCCTCTATATACTGTGCTCTTTTTTATATCAGTGCATATTATTGCGTAGTCTTTGGTCATTGTGACAGCTGCATGGTGTACTGCTTCAGATGTATGGATAAGTTGTTTCTAGCTTATTACTGTTAATTGATAATATTCCAGTATATGTCTTTGTGCTGTTTTCTGCACAAGTGTGCTTGTATTTGCACTGAGCTATGTGCTTCTGAATAAAAACTTAATAGTATTAAGTTATGCTTAATTTGTTTAAAATAAAAATTCAAATAACCATCAGTTGCAATGTATATGCTAAGTTATCTTTACATATTCTATATTTACCACCTTATTTGGTAAAAGTTTCTTCTGAATGGTTATCATGAGGGTGAAAAGAGACAATGATTGAAGACTTCCTTTGTGTAGTTATCAAATGCTTGGTAGATAGGAAACTAGTACTCAAGTAGCTGATTTTTCCTTTTCTTTTCCCCCTTCCCATTAGATAATATAGTTGCATCTAACAAAAACAACACAATTTGTCCAGGTAAGTATAAACTCTATGTGTATACTTAGCATCCTGTGTTTTCTACCAGGCCTGTTCGAGGTCCACGATGACGGCCATTTATGTGCACAGAAATAGAATAAGTAATTCATGTCCTGATTTGGGAAAGTGAAAGCAGGTCTCTTAACCTTGTTAATCATTGTTTATAATATTTTTAAAATAAAATTTCGGAATTAAAAAACTTACTGCTGAGGAAAAATTGAGATACTGGCTTTGTTAACTAATTTAAAAATTGGTCTGCAGGAAATAAAAGTTTATTTTTATTTAATGTTGAAAAGATTTTTGAAATAATCAGAACTGTGTTTTATAGACATCCTTTTAAAAAGAATGCCAGTTTAATCTCATTAGCTTCATAGTTCCACAGAATACCTGTGATGTAATCTTTTTACTTAACACTATTGAATTTTTACACAAATAATATACTTTAAGATTATTAATTATAATTACTAGTACTTCTAGAGATACCTAGTGAAAAAGTAAAAATCTGTAGTCTTTTTAAATGACAGAAAAATGAGATCTAAGAGCCTGATTACTTTTGCTCTGAAATATAGGGATATGAGCTTTGCACACTTTAATTGTAATCGTTGGGTTTTTTTATGTAATTGTAATAGTAGTATTGTAATAGTTGTTTTTATGTGTTGACTTTCTTTGTAGATAATTACCAAACAGCACAGCTGCTTGCCTTAATTTTAGAGTTACTCACGTTTTGTGTGGAGCATCACACATATCACATAAAAAACTATATTATGAACAAAGACTTGCTAAGAAGAGTCTTGGTCTTGATGAATTCAAAGCACACTTTCTTGGCATTGTGTAAGTAAAAATTTAAGATTCTTGTAAAATGTTTCATGGAATAATGTTTTTACTAGAGATAAAAGCTAGTGTCTACTTTTAAAAAAATTTTTTAAGCAGTATGTATGATAAAAATATCATTAAGAAGTACTAAAATCTTCTTTTTACTGTTTTTATATTCATCTTATCAATCTTTAGATTGAGAAGTCTCCACCCCACATTTCGCTTATATTCGAATCTCATGAACTTTTTTGTCATTCAGTATGGTGTGTGGTAACATCATTTCATTGACAAAACCAGTCATGCTGCCTTCGGAGTCTGCTTTACCATGCTCTCACTTCATAGTAGGCCTTGAGATTGTTAGTTATGAGCCTTGCAGTGTTGTGTGAAGCATAAGCTGTTTATTGAATTTGCAGAATACCAGACCACTTGACTAATAATAAATAAATTTAATTCATTATGCACTTCTAATGTTGTTGTTTTGGGGGGGAACTATATTCTTCCCTGTCTTCATAATATTGTCTTCAATTAAAGATAATGAAAACTCTTTCCAAATGAAAAGCACCATGTGAATTTTTTTTTCCTTGCCAGAAGCATTATAATTCACATTATGCATTTGTTTTAACGTATATGCCCTTTTTTAACTGCACATATAATGAGTTGTGTACCAGCGCATCTGAACTGACCCATAGCTGACCTTCTGGCGGGTTTTCAGAGGCAGTTAATTGCATGGGACAAGATTGCCCATCCTTCTCCCGCAGAGCAGATGGTGGAGTTAAACTTTGTGCCTTCAGGATTATAGTGCAGCTTCTTACCAGTATGCTACCAGAGCTCTCTATAAGGGGTTATTGATTTGTTTCTAATTTTTCAAGACTTGACCATACTACACATTTTAGCCCCTCAGTGCTCTCGGTCAGCTTTTTTGATGGGGTTCGGTTTTTTCCCTAGAGATACTTGAGTCCCATTTTTCCGTGTGGCAAATCTGCAATTTGTTCTTCTTTCTCCAGTGGAGAGGTTACCACATTGTTTTCTGATACCTCTATAAGTGATACTGTAAAAAGTAGACCTAGTGCATAAATCTTCAAAATACTGGTTTATTTATTTCTGCAGAATAGATTTCCAGTAGTGTGCTTACCAGGGAACAGTATATACGTATTTTTTAATAGTAATCTTTAAAAATTTAATTTGACTTAAAGCTATCAGAGTACTTTCCCAAAAGATTGTTCTTCATATTTTGCTAGCATTTAACACCGCTGATTTTCAGAAGTCGTACTGATGTGATGAACATGAGTATGATACGCAGCTTTGTCCTGTCCTGTGTCATCTTTCCATGTGCTAATACTTTTTGCATTTATTTGTTGTGAATCAACTCTTAAATAGGTAATTATTTATTATCATAATAGTAATTTGTTATGGCTAAAAATATTTTCTTGTGTTATTTGTCCTTTTTCTTTGACTTACGGTACTATTTTTAATAGAGTGCTTTATGCTGACAACTATTTCTTTCTCTTTTATAAGTGGCGATTTCTGCTTCAGAAACTCGCCTGCATTTTTTTGTCTGTAATCTCTTAAAATTTCATTAATTCTTTTTTATACCTGTATGTCATTTCCTTTTTTACACTTCTGTGTGCAGTGCACCTAAAAATGGCTTTTGCATATCATACGATGTGAGAGTCTAGCTTTGTTTACTAAATAAGCTATATTCCTTTTTTAAAAAAAAATTATTTTATTCGTGTGTGTGTGTGTGTGTGTGTGTGTGTACCGTCAAATCGGATCTGACTGGTACAAGAGGAGATTTCCCCTCCTTTTCCAGCAGAGCATCTGGTGGATTTGAACCAAGTGCCTCTGAGATTGCAGTGCACTTCTTACCACTAGGCCACCAGAGATCCCTTAAAATACGCTATATTCTTATTACAAGTTCAAGTAGCATTTTTCTAATATAACACATGTAAATTATGTGCTTATTTCTGCATTGTCCACTTTACTAGATGAAATAAAATGGGAATATCTCAGATTGAGCTGCTAGAGAACCACCTCTGTTAGAAGGCTTTATATCTGGCTAATTCCTTCTCACTTCCACCATTTTCTTGGCTGTTCTTACCGTAGCCGTTATTTTATATAGTTCTTCCTTATCGGAATAATACTGTATTTTCCTATTAGTATTGGAAGTATTGATGTTCCCCTGATAGGTTTTTTCATGTCTTATTCGTTCATATTAATGTAGATATAACTGAAGCAGTCTTTCATTTTTGTGTATGTTGTCAGTAGTTTCTCATAGTGTTAATGTTGTATCTGTCGTTGTGTGTGCATGGTAGATGTTCTTCACCAGCAGTGTTAAAGGTGCCTTTCATTTTTGCCTTCGGCTCTGCGTGTCATTTCTATCTAAAGCACGGCAGCTCTTCACACATAGGCTTAATGTCTAAGTCTAGCACACCTTCCCACATTTGTTGAGTGTTATCATTAACATAATATTTGTACCTTTTGGGGCCTATTTCCACTCGTTCTTTCCTATCGGTTCCTGCCTCTGAGCTTTAGCACTAGGCACATGGTTTTTTAAATCTTGCTTATGTAGTTGATTGTTCTAAGGGGAGTTCATTGCTCCCTGGTGTTGTTCATGACCTTAGGTTGTTAATGTGTGTCGTGGAGTTGGAACCAACTCATAGCTGACCCTCAAGTAGGTTTTCAGAGTCTGTAAATCGCGTAACAGGAGACTACCCATCTTTCTTTGATAGAGAAGCTGGTAGATTTGAACTCAGCTGCCATAGCTCCCCACTTGCCTTGTAAGCCTTTGTATTGTTTGGCCACAAGTTGAGCATGGAGAATTTCTGTTCTGGACTTCAGAGATGACCAAAGGAGGGCCGGGAATCCCACTCGTATCTATCAGAGCAGTAAGCTCCAGCTTTCTAAAAATGACTTTCATTTAATTCCACCTTTTCCTTGCTCTTTGTCAGGAGTGAGTGCCACTCTTTTTGTATGTGTCACATTCTTTGGCACTCCTCTTGGTAATTAATGGCCAGCATTTATATTCTGTGAGTTTTGTGTATTTTTGTTGCAGAAGTTTTGCCTTTCTTATTTTATAAAACCCCATGCATTGCTTTAGGAGAGAACACTTAGGTAGCAATATGTAGTAAAAATATGAATTTACTATGTTTGCCTTCTCTTATTTTTTTGTTAGGTGCTCTTCGTTTTATGAGGCGGATAATTGGCCTTAAAGATGAATTTTATAATCGTTACATCACCAAGGGAAATCTTTTTGAGCCAGTTATAAATGCTCTTCTGGATAATGGAACGCGGTACAATCTATTGAATTCAGCAGTTGTTGAGTTATTTGAATTTATAAGAGTGGTAAGTTTCTATCTTGGGGTTCTTTGTAATGTATATATAAGTGATTCTTAATTCTTCTCTTCCTGGAATTGTTTCTATAGAATCTGTTTTCAATAAACGGAAATTTTAAGAATAAGTTATTCTTTCTACTCGTTATTTGGGTATAGTTAATAGTTAAGTGACATATTTTAAATGTCAAAATTCTGTTTAGTTGTCCCCCATGTTCTCTGTTTTATTTGGGCACGTGATTCAGGTTCATATTGGTGGATATGTGTAGACATTTTAGTCTAGGATTGTCGTTCATCTCTTAGGAAAAGATAGTTTTCTAATTTAGGGACAGTGACAGAAAAATGAATAGAAAAGTTTAAATACTTTGTGTTCCACATCAACACAAATTGCATGAAATAAAGTATGGAATCTTTGAGTTTCAAGGTGTAGAAACCAGGAAGTTTATATATTACTACTTGAGTTTGCCTTTATTTACAGATGAGGGAATTGAGACACCCAAAGTAATTAAATAAGGTATTTAAGAGCATCACTTTGATTAGTAGTAGAGTCACATGTACTAACTCAGCTTTGGGCAACATAGAGTGATCCAGAAGGAGCTCTTTGTGAATATCATGGATAAGAATGTGACGGCAGTAGACCCATTCCTGCACGTGTACTTGCTGGCTCCCCAGGAGGAGTGGCCAGTGAGTGTCAACTTAGAAAACACATGAAGTCAAAGTTAGAAATTCATTCTTCCATCTCCTTACCAAGTTTCTACTGATGACATGCTCTCCTCCTACTAAGATGTTTTGTCTGACTGTGTGGTTTTTCTAATAGTCACTTTGTGAGTCTTTAAAGCATGGAGATAGAATTCAACTATAAAATACAGTCAGAGAGACTAGTTGAATACAGGACGAGGTGTCAGAACGCTGCTCTTGTGAATCTGATTAACTTTTTCTACCTCTAAATGTTTGATAATGATGAAATGAATGCGTTTATAAACCCATGACCTTTTTTTCCTGAAAATAACTTGTTTAGTGGATAAGGATACATTAAATGTCAATTAGTTTGTCTTGTCTTTTGATTTTTTTTTATTCTTTGCCTATTTGATGAGATTTCTAATGGAACAGAACATGACTTAAAAAGGAGATTATGATACATAGTTTAAAGAAATGTCTTCTGTATGTAATACCTATAAATCATGAATTTTAATGTATTGATGGATTTGCAGTGATTTGTAGATTGGTTCACATAGAAGAATTTGAAGTTAATACTAAAAATAGATAGGTTACATAATTTACCAAACAGTATGTTATACAGGTTGGAAGTCAGTGCTTACTGAGATGAGGGCAGTCTTATTTTTATGACTTCAATGTGAAATCATTAAATATCACTTCCTGTTTTTTGGAGATAGACTCAAAGTATCTTCCCTAACCTACAGTATATTTTTGATCAGGGATTATAAAGCCTCTTGCACAAAATTATTATGAGGATCCGAGGAAATTTAATCTTAAAGTCCATTTTGGATTGTAAAGTACTGTGTAAATGTCAGATTAAACAAGACACAGATGAAATCTATTTCTTTTTTCAATGTTCTTCAGAGTTCCCCGAGAGGACACTCCTCCTTTTTCCATTTTCTGTGAAGCATGGCTTTTATGTTTTATACTTTAAAAAACTGAGATAATATTTTCAGAAGGTGATTTTTGAAGACATTTTTTAGAACAGCTTAAACATTACAAATATTTTTCCCCTAAAAAGCATTGCATTATATTTGAAATGTAAATTTTGTGCTTATACAGGAAGATATCAAGTCTCTCACTGCACATATAGTTGAAAACTTTTATAAGGCACTTGAATCGATTGAATATGTTCAGACATTCAAAGGATTGAAGACTAAATATGAGCAAGAGAAAGACAGACAAAATCAGAAACTCAACAGGTATTTTTACATATATTTTAATTAACGCTATAAAATCAATGGAGTTTACATTTTATAGGGATTTTCATTTTTATCACCTGTTCGTTGTGTAAAAAGCGTAGTTGTTTTCCCATCGCTCAATCCTTTACAGCCACAGATTGTAAATTAAAGGGGCCCTGGTCACATACTCGACTCTCTGTCAGCTCTGAGTCGCTTCTGACTCGAAGGTAGTGACAGACTGGGGTTTGTGTTTTGTTACTGGTTTTTTTGAGTGGCATCCTGGGTAAACTGTTGGGCTGCTAACTAAAACCTTGACAGCTTGAACCCCCAGCCACTCTGCAGGCAAAAGATGAGATAGTCTCTTCCCAGTCAGAGTGGGCGTCTCCAAAGCCTCGTGGAGGACTAGGATTGACAGAGGAGGAGTGAAACGGAGGTCCATTTGTATCGTGACTGAGCATTATGGCGTGAACTATACCTGGCTAAGAGGACTTGAGTGCCTCTGGGGCGTACAGACTCCCTCAGATTTAATCTGACTATGAACTTTAAATCAATTCTCAGTATTTGTGATATGTTTCTTACAGTGTACCATCTATATTACGTAGTAACAGATTCCGCAGAGATGCAAAAGCCTTGGAAGAGGATGAGGAAATGTGGTTTAACGAAGATGAGGAAGAGGAAGGGAAAGGAGTTGTGGCGCCAGTAGACAAATCCAAACCAGAAGACGACTTTCCCGACAGCTATGAAAAGTTTATGGAGACTAAGAAAGGTATTAAAGTACAACTGTTTTACAAATATGCAAGGGACTACTTTTTAACACTGCATCATGCCCTTTTACAATTACACACTTTCCCAAATCTGCTTGGAATTCTTAACATACTTAAAGTGTTTTTCTTTAAACTTGGCATTTTGTAATGCCGTATTCATAATTGCATTATCTACTTACACTTTTCCTCCTATCCATATTCTCTCTCTCTGTACTGAAATCTCTGGTATTATTAGACCTTATAGATCCATAGAAACTGACTTTGTTACTTTTTCAAGTAATTTAAAGTCTCATAAAGATAATGATACTTTAAAAAAAAAAAAGAAATAAAAATCTCCTGGCTATCAAGTGTACTTGTTTTATACAGCTAAGATAGATCTTACTGCTACTTTTCAAAATAAATAATCTCTCTTATTTCTGTGGCCTGAAGTACCTTAAGTATATCATAAGTGCTTTTTTATTAGTAAATTAAATTTAAAAGACAGAACTCTTTGTTGAACTTTATGTAGAGGGTGATTGTATTGTTTCCAACCTATTCTTTAGTCCTATAAATTCGATGTGCTTAAGCTTTATAGATCATCAGATAGTTTTTTTAAGATATTTTAAGAGGTAAGGAGGGATCAGGGGTAGGGTAGTGGATAAGGAGTTGGTCTGCCAAACCAAAGGCTTGCAGTTTGAGTCCACCAGCAGCTCTGACGTGAGCTTGTGCTTGAAGTGCTACATCCAGTTCTGGGTGGCACATTGTTTAGAATCCTACAGAAAAATAGTGATGGCAAGAGACCTAGCTAAAGGAGCCTGGAATAGTCACGGACTAAGTCAGCCACTTCCTAAACAACATGCCTCTGAAAGGATGATAGTTACAGAAAGGCTTTCAGATCTCTGTTCATAGAGTCACTGTGAGTCGTGCTCGACTTGACAGTCAACGAGAAGCAGACTGATGGGCCTGATTGTTGTCTTGAGGCATTTTAAATACTGTGTTGTGGGAAATGGTTCCATTAACAGAGTTTAGAAGTTTAGAGTGAGGAGTGAAAGCTGCCGGTGGGACAAGTGGTTCCAGACAAAGAGGAGTCAGCGAGCTGATGATCCGGTGATGTGAGGTTCCAGCACAGGTTTTGCTGGGTCAATCTTCAAGTCTCACCTTATTCTGAGATTTTTAAAGTTCGAGTTAATAGAGACTTGTCATTTCTGCTCTATTCTCTTAGGTTTGAGAAAGCAAAAGGAATATTTAATAAAATTTTAACAGTACCCTTTCCAGATGCCTTCTTAGAGCAATGTATATTGATAAATGTTCCAAATTTTTCTTTAACTGTAGCAAAGGAAAGTGAAGATAAAGAAAATCTTCCCAAAAGGACATCTTCTGGTGGCTTCAAATTCACTTTCTCTCACTCCACCAGTGCTGCTAACGGGACAAACGGCGCTAACAGTAAATCTGTAGCGGCTCCGACATCACCAGCAAGTTCTAATGGGGCCTCCTCCAAAGCGACAAGTTTGGCTGCATCAGTAACGGCCACCAAGGTAGGGGAAATGGCACTACAGACAACCTGTACTGGTTTGCTTTCATTTAGGTTTTAATATACAAAATTACTTCCTGTTGATTGAAGAACATTTAAGTGAAAAAAAAAGAAAAATTGCATGTCAGCATCTGAGAACATGACTACTGACATCCTCCTGATTTTTTCCTTCAGATCTCTGTGTTTCTATGCACACAGTTGAGCTCCTTGTATAAGTGAAGTTTTAAATCCCACATTTATTTATTATAAGCATTTTCCTCTAATGATAGAACCATAGAATTTCCTTTTCTTTGTATCATAATTTAGAAGCATTGCTCCCCTCTTCTGTGGAAGCATTGAGTCCAGTCATTGAGGTGACACTTGTGGTGGTGCAAGTTTTTCTAGGGTACATTAACTGGAACAATGTTTTCCCACATATTTTTATTTTTGCCACAAAATTTCTGTTATTCGTATTCCCGTAAGCAGTGAAAATCTTTCCCCTCAAAAAAGAGTAACTTAAAACGAAAAGACTTAAATATAGGACAACTGTTAGTCTCAGGATAGAAGAAAAAAGGTGGAGGAAGGGAAGTGCCCTCGTGGTGGGCAGACTGAAGGGCGCTTCTTGGTTAGTGCACAGGATGGAGGTCTGAGTTCAGTGTCCTAAGAACATGTAGGAGCCATGCATCTTACTGTAGTTAGGTAGCTGCTGACTAAATCTCAGAAATGAGATTTTCAGTAGGATCCTTCAGTGCAGCTGTTTAAAACACATTTTGTGCTTTTTACTATTGTTGTTTTTGCTAGAGGCCATCAAGTCAGCCATGACTTATATAGTGGCCTGTGAACTGGGACCCTTTCCCCATTTTGAGCTCTCCGCACCGGCTGGGACCTGCCCAGGCCGACTGATAGCCACTGTGTCCGTTCATCCTGTTGAGGATCTTCCTCTCTCTCATCTGCCACCTTTCCAAGCAGGTCTTTTTCCATAATTGGCCCCACTTGACAACATCCCCAAAGTATGTGAGACCCGAAGTCTCCCCATCCTTGCACTCTGGTTGCACTTCCTCTAAGAAAGACTTGTAGTTTTTGGCAGCCCAAGGAATATTCTGTACTCTTCTCCCACACAGAAGTTCAGACATCAGTGATTGTTCTGTCATCCTTACTCATTATCCGACTACCAGATACATAGGAAGCAATGGAAAATATTCTAGCTTGAATCAGGCACACCTTGGTCTTTAAATTGACCTCATTGCACTTTAGCATTTCGGAGAGGTCCTTCAGGGCAGATTTTCTCAATATAACACATCTTTTGATTTGTTGACTGCTACTACTGTGAGTGTTGACTATGAATCCAAGGAAAATTAATTTGTTGACTTCCATCTTTCACCATGTTGCCTGTTGGTCCCGTGGTGAGGGCTTTTGTTTTCTTGATGTTGAGATAACTGTAATCTGTATTGAAGGCTGTGTTTCTTTGATCTTCTGCAGCAAGTGTTTCAGGTCCTCTTTACTATTAGCAAGCAAAGTTTGTGTCATCTGAATAAGGCAGGTTGTTGATGAGTCTTCCTCTGATCCTGATGCCACATTCTGCTTCATATAGTCCAGCTTCTTGAATGATTCGCTCAGCATATAGATTGAAAAGGTACGGAGAAAAGATACAGCGCTGACACTTTTCCTGAGCAGCTTGACCTGTGTAGAAGTTTTGCATGAGCACAATGAAGTGTTCTGAGATTCCTATTCTTCGCCATAAGTTATACAAAATAGGGTGTTGCTCAAGGCTTATTTTTTACCTAGCAAATTTTCAAATTTTTTGTTGTTGTTGGAACAGTGTAGTGTACTATCATGATACAGTATTACATGTGTTGTGGAGTTGTTATATTTGCAGTCTAATCATGTGTTGTGGAGTTGTTATATTTGAAGTCTAATCTTGGCTTTGCCTTCTTCCAGATGTTTGACTTGAAGTTATTCAACCTCTCAGAGCCTTCTCCTCCTCTTAGATGGGTGTGAAACGTCACCCACTTTATAGGTTTGATGTGAAGTTTAAATTGTCTAATTTATGTAAAGAACTTGGGATACTACCTACCACCTTTTAAAAAAACGTGAGCTTTTTTTTTAAACAGTAGATGACTTTCAAAGTCAGCTACTACTGAGAGTACAGCTTGTTTAAAAAAAATCAGTCCTCTGTTCTTTTCTATTGTTGTTGAGTACCGTGTAGTTGGAACCGACCCATAGCTGACCCTCTGGCAGGTTTTCAGAGGCAGTAATCACACGGAAGGAGACTGCCCATCCTTCTCCCGCAGAGCAGCTGGAGGATTTGAACTGTGTGCCTCTGCGGTTGCGGCACGGGTTCTTGCTACTAGGCCACCAGAGGTAACATTAGGCTCTCCTAGCTGCGGCTCTTTCTCAGTGGTGCGTTAATACAGCTGTGGTCCTTTTCCAGCTTCAGACAGAATGTTTCATTTTGTTTTGATAAATGAAGATTTCCTTTTTCTTGTGTGTGCACCTTTTTTTTTTTTTTTAAATGTGTGTACTGTCAAATTGGATCTGACTGTGGTTCAGGAGGCGATTGTCCCTCCTTCCCCGGCAGAGCATCTGGTGGATTTGAACCGCGCACCTCTGGGATTGCAGTGCAGTTTCCTGCCACTAGGCCACCAGAGCTCGCCCACCTGACTATCTCTTAACCACATCCTCACCTCAGTCCTCCCCTCTTTCTCTGGCACATCTTTTGCTTAATACATTAATTTATAATTGTATACTTTAAACAGTAATTACTGAAATTTTTTGAGGAAAGACTTGTAAACAGAATTTTTTGTTGATTCAGATTTCCTTTTTCCCCCATTTGCTGCAGTAATTGTACCTCTTGTTAATTCTGTGTACCTCAGGCCAGCTTCTGCATCATCTGTATTTTGTACAGCTCTGTTCTCTGTGGACAGTCCCCATCCTAGTCCAATCCAGAATGACTGCACTCCAGACTTGCTGTTAGTATTGTTCTGCAGGTCTTGCCTCTGGTCATTTCTGTGTTGCCCCTGTGCAGTTAACCTGCCTCTGCAAACACATTCCCCCACCCCCCCATCAGCTGTGGGTCAGTACCGACTCCATGGTACAGCAGTGGGACATGTGAGGTTTCATGGCATCGGTTCATAATGAATGCAGACCTTTGCGGTGGACCTGTGCCATTTTCTGGGTGATATGTCTAAAATCTTAATAGAAGTTTCAAAGAGGAATTCATTTATTACTCAGAAAACCCAAGAAATCAAACTTGTCATCCAGCCCCACTCACAGTGAGCCTTGTAGGACAGAGAGAAATTCTCTGGGGTTCCCAAGACTAATCTCTACAGAGACTCACCACCATGTCCTCTCACGAGCAGCTGTCAAGACTTCTCAGCTCGCAGGTGGGCACTTAAGCCACTGTGCCACCACGGCTCCCTTGTCAAAAGAAGTCTAATTAAACTTTTTTTAAAAAGCAAGAGAAAAAACCATGATCTCTTTATTGATGAAACAGACATTTTGATGGATAAAGACAACTTGTGTGTATTGTTAAATGTATTATACACCAGGAACTGACAGCTGCCCCTCCAAGCTCTGAGGGAGAAAGATGAACAGTTTCCACCTGTGTGACTTACAGCCTCGGACACCTAGTGCAGGGTCAGCTAGGGGTCTATTCTGGCTTGACTGTAATGAATTTAACAGGGTAAGTTTTTAAGAGAATCTTTAAGTTTTATATGTTAATTAAAGAGTAATTCTGGTTGTTTCTTTTAATTACTCATTAGGGAAGTTTGGTTGGCCTAGTGGATTATCCAGATGATGAAGATGATGAGGAAGAAGAAGAAACATCTCCCAGGAAAAGACCTCGTCTTGGCTCCTAAAATCTTGACTCCGAGACCCTCAGCATGTGGTCTCCCTAAATGCTGCAACTGTTCAATGAGCTGAAGCCCTGGATCAGCAGCTTCCTCACTTGACCTACAACACACAAGGAGTAGCAAAAGACCCACCGTAATCAGCAAGGAGAGTTTAGTTCTGCATAAAACCAGGCTTGCCGGGAACTTGATTGCTTGCTAGTAATTGAGGTTGGCCTCTCCCGCTGTCCAAAAGTAAAAATGCATAAAGGTTAATAACCAGAACCTGGGAGGTAACTCCCGGCATGGAAAGTCTCAGGTTTGGTGACGGTTTCAGGGAGGGAAAAGGTTGATGGAACAATATGAATACAGGTTGCTCCAGGGGGTATCCAGTGTAGAAAATTGTAAAACTCAACATTACTTGTATAATGGTGCTGGCCATGTTCTTTAATCAGTTGCCTCTTTTTAATAGAAATTTTTATGGAAAACAAGTTCAACTACCGTAATTAATACAGTTAAGCCATTGGGACCATGTCTTCAAAGATTTAACAGAAATTTAGCCTTCGTGGTATATGGCAGGAAGCACACCCTGTATTACAGATGCATGCTGAGTCTTGGACACCAGAAATGTTCAGTGTGTATTTGGATGAAAACAAGCAAGGTCGATTCTGAATGGACAGTGTTCTGTTAGGTAACTTTGAAATTGGCACTTTTTGAGCAAATACATGGCAGGAATCCATAAAATAGTATTCTAGAAGGATAGTGTCCCTGGACACCTGGGTCGTAGGACGGATTTCCTTTCTTCCAGCCGCCTCCCAGAACCACAAGTGGCGGAAGAGACTTTGAAGTCATCTTCTGCTTTGCTGGTAAAGTCTCTGTTGAGAGCTGCAAGCACATTTTTAAAGAGTATATTACAAAACCTAACCTAAAAAGAATAGTTCTGAGTTAAGTGGCATTTACTAGCTGGAAGCCGCCTGGGACCAGGATGTGTCTGCAGCAGCGTGCGTCACAGGGGTGTTCGACAAGGGTGTAATTGGAAAGCATAAAAGCACATTCCATGTACGTAAGTGAACCTAAAATCATAAATTGAGGCAAACAGTTAAGAAGTTTTATTTTTAGAACAGCAAGTTACCTGTAAATATTTTAATGATAGTTTGCTCACCCGTGATCTGAGATCATGCAGAAGTGAGGAAAACAGAGTCCCCAAACTACAATTGAATGCATTGGGAATAAAAAGCTAAAACTGTAATTCTAGGTACCATCTTTAGATCACCCTTGTAATGTGTTAAGGGTCCATTTTTCCTGGAATAGCTTAAACTGAAGCAGTTTGCCCTGTTTTGGAGATTTTTGTAGTTAATTTTACTTTGGTCTATTGTTTGGAAAAGATGGGCTTTCTGTGTAGATATGAAGTATAGTTTTTCCATAAAACAGATGTTTATTTTGTATTAAAAATACCACTGTACTTGTTTTACACCATTTGTATACATGTGGTGATATTAATGCTAAAATGTAAAATTCAGGAATTAAAATGTGACCCTGTAATTCCATGATTGTTGCTTTTGTTTGGTTTGTTGTAAATATAAATTAACTTCATTTTGAGATCTTCCATTTTACCTTATCTTCTGAAAGCCAATAAAAATATTCTTCCTAGATATTTCTTCTATACCATTAGGGTGCCCACCAGACTGAAAGAATACTAAGTGAGGGTCACCCTGGAGCATGATCCTTGATCCTTAGAGAAGTTAGCTTCCCTGGGCCTGGCGGGGCATCAGAGTGCCATCATTCTCCTGGCTGATGAATGGAGAGGGTATTTATTTCACTTCATAAAGACACTCGAGCAAGATTGATAGAGTTACCACAGGAATACATTACTATCAGGCACTTCTTCTGAGTCTTTACCAATCTTTTTCTTGTCATCTGTGAGCCCAGGCCTAAAACAGTCCTCTATCGATTCCTGACTTTTCTTCTGTAACTTTAAATTCCGGTAGGAATTGTTATCTTTGTCTTAATGAAGAGTTTTGTTTTCCTTGCTGAGAAACTACACCATGAGCCGTTAATGTTTAAATCATCATAGGAAGCTTTTCTTTTGAGCTAGAGAATGTGAATGTTTTCTTGAATTGCAAGATACCCATTTTCATGGTACAAGAGTGTGTTTACCCACAATGTGGCAAGACTTACACCCTGCAGAGAACTATGAAGAGTCTAGGTTAGTTGCTTTTAAAAATTGCTACCCTCAGGCAGATCTGGGTTTTTATATCTTTAATTTATATCTTCACTCAGTGGAGCAAGCCACAGCCCACGGTTGTGTGCCGGAGGCCCTTTTAAAGTTTATCTGTAAACTGGATTCAATACAAAGACTATTTTTAATAAAAAGTTACATGAAAAAGATTTCTGTGTTTTGATCGCTAATGTCTCCTTTTGTCCATCAGTGATAGAAATGAACAAAATGATAAAGGGGGGTGGGGTCACAGGAAAGAGGTGGAGAGGATGGGTATTTAATGTTCTCTAAACAGAATGTGTGTGGATGGAAAACGAACATACCATGGAAATTTTCACTCAGATTTTTTCTACAGGCTGAAGTTTGGAAACGGACTGAGTTTTATTCAACTAATTTCGGTTGAAGACTCACCCATGATTGTAGATGGGATTTAGAATTTGAGCCTTGGGAGTCCCCTATAGCTAAAAGCGGGAGTGGGGGGTTGGGTTCGCAGTACCACCTCAGTCTTAAGTTACTTTTAAGGCCTACTCCAGGATCTGAAAAGATCCACTAACAAAGCAAGATGGCAGCCTTCCCCACTTCACCCTTTTATCAGTTTGAGTAAGTTTTTAGTAAAATTTGACAATTAACATCTCTGCATACACTGCCCAAGTCCTGTGCTCCCGCCCCCAGTGTCGACCCTGTGAATCAGTCACCTGTGGTGTTCGACTCAGATCACCTCATCCCAGAGCACCTACAACACTTGTCTACACAGCAGCTGCACATCTTTTATAAATGATAATGTTGGTGCTGTGGTCATTGCCTACTCTTCAGTGACTTCTCTCTGCACCTATTATAAAACCTACAATCCTTTGGTCCCCAGGAAGGCCCCACCTGTGTCGTAGGTCCTCTGCTGTTACGGGGCCTGAACACAAGTTTCTCTACCTACAGTAAGCTTGGTCACCCCTGCTTGAAGGACTCCTAACACTGGTCATAAAGTGTTCTGAAAGCTCCTTTAAGGCAGGGCTGTGTTGATCCAGGTCTAGCATCTACAAAGAAGCAGTAAGCTGTGTAAGGTCTGGCCGGGTCTAGCAGGGAGGCGCACTGCTAGGCCCAAAGCCAGGTCCTAGGGGCAGTTCAAATGGAATCCATGAGCAGCTTCAAAGAGATGGACAGTGGATGGTAGCTAGGAGTTAACCAAGGCTGAATCCATGTGTCACCAGCTCGGTTCTACATCAGCTCTTCAAGAGCCAACAGCAACCAGCATCTCTCTTCAACAGGAGCTCTAGTGGCTCAGTATTTAAGGACTGATGCACGGAGAGGTAAGCGGTAGGAACCATCAGCTGCTCTTAGGGAGAGCCGGGTGGTCAGTTGCTGGAAATGCCTGGGGGCAGTGTTCGGTCCTGGGGGTTGCTGTGTGGGCGCAACTGTTGGGGTTTTGGTATGGCCCGAATGAGCCATTTCTGCCATCACTCACCACTTGTACTATTTTAAAACAGTAGTACAATTAGCATTTACAAACTCAAGTATTTAAAACTGACAGGCTTGACTCAAGGATTAAATAATTTATTTTTAAGAAAATCTGAACCTCTCTCCTGCTAAATGGTTTCATAAAGCTGTCACTTGTTTATAACTTCTTCTTTAAGCTTCTCTGCAAGCAATCTCCTCTTTAGTAAGGTCTGCTTCTCCTCTGCTGTCATTTCTGGTTTCTCTGTCATTTCCTTTAGAAAAAGAGAAGACTTGAGTGTAAAATAGGCTCACCTGTTAATTTCTCAACATCCTGTCTCAATAAAAATGAGGGTATTGTCAGAAGATGAGTGTAAGCCAAACATCAACGAGGTGCCCCTAAGTCTACCTGGAAGTCTCCTGAGAAATCGCCTCTTGGGAGGTGGTGGCTGGGGGGAGGCGGTGGCTGGGGAAGTGGCACTGTTGACCCCTAATCACCCACAACACGCCGTCACGGGAGAGCTGTCATGTCTGCTCCCAGGAGCCCAGTCAACAGCGATCACACTGCATTGCAAGGACCTGGCACTTGCTGACACCAGCAGGATGGGTGAGACGAAAAGGTCGACCAGCAAGATGCATTACTGGTAACTCCCTTAACATATTTCTGATTCTGAGACAGACAGGTCCAGCCATACCTTTCCCTCCACGGCAGGTTTCTCTCTCGCCTCAATACTCTGTGTCTGCTTGGTCCTCAGATCCTTCCTCATGGACATCAGCTTGTCCCGCTTCTCCTTGAGATACTGTTCTCGCTGCCGCAGCTCTTCTGTTCCAAGTGCTGCTAAGTTCTAGAGCAAGCAAGGAAATGACTGACATTCAACTCAACGCAGTAAATGGCACAGATACTGTGGCCAACTCAGTAAAGTCACCTGAGTTCAAGATCCACAGTAGGCCAGTCTACAGCTGCTAGCACCCCCCTCCCCCCACTCCCCACACCTCGTCCGTCTCACTTACAGCTATAGGTCCTTCCCTGCTCACATGCTCCCAGCCAGGCACCTTCACGTCTCTCTGGGGGAGGGATGACGTTTCAGGCAGCATCTCCGTCTCTCTCGTCGTCGTGGGCTGTACTGGTTGACTAGCAAAATGCACTTGACCTTCTGGCAGCAATTAAAAGACCAATTAGAAAACAGTAAGCTGCCGTCCACCTCCAGCCAAGCCCACCAAGTCAAGCTAACGGGAATCCTTGTTTCTTCTACATTAAGTCAACGCTGGGAGAAGGGGGTGAACACTACCAAATATGCTTAAACGGTTACGCCTGACAATTCAACAGCCTCGGCCGTTTGAAGGCAGATTCTCATACAACAAAAACGAGTGCAGGATGAGGCGGTCAGTCTCTATGGATTTATGGCCTTGGAAACCCTAGGGGGCAATTTCACTCCATCCATAATAGGGTGGCTAGGAATCAGAACGGACTCAGCAGTGGCGAAATGTGATTTTTGTCTGGTACAGCTACAGAAAGGAGCCATGTCTAAAGATCAAAACGACACTAACTTGTAAATACGAGGTTGCCAAATAATACGTCAATTCCTCACTGTAAGAACACATCCAGTTTTCAGAACTTTTGCAGGTAAAAACTATCAACTCCCAAAAACCCATCGCTGTTGGGTCTGAACCGACTCACAGCTGACCTTCCAGCAGGTTCCCGAGGCTATAAATGCCCCGGGAGGAGTCTGCCCACCCTCTGGAAGAGATATCACCTTGGAGGCAGCAGCTCCGCTCACTACGGAGTCCGCCCCAAGTGAACTATTATTTTCAGAACCACAGAAAGGTACACTTCTCTGAATGGAAAGAATAAAAGTGTTGAGGGTCAAGAACTTCTGCTGGCAGGACTGCTCACACGGGTTACCTAACTAAACCCTGCTGAGGGCAAGTGTTCCTGGCAACCAGGAGCACAGGGTCCCAGAAACACGTCAAGAACAGTGCTTGCTCGGCCTTGTGGACATTGTTATATAGAGTACTCCAACTCAGACCTGAAGAAGAAAAGATTGAGGCCAAAGTGTTTCACCCCTCTAATTTCTAGAAAAACATTTTAAGAGATCCAGCAAGACTAAGATGATCACGGCGCTGGCAAGGTTGTGCCTCAGTCTGGGAGGGGACGCTCCCATTTCTCAGCAGCGTGGAAACCTGACAGTTTGAACATGAACAAAAGGGTCTCTGGCTCGTTCTGTACCAAGTCAACATAACAGCCTTCCATCAGTGCATGTGAAGTCATTTCTTGGAATAAGGTATGCATGCTTGTTAAAAAAAGAATTCTTCTTGAACACTGAAAGCATTACTTTTGAAATGATCCACCATCTGTTCTGTGCCATTACGGTAAGTAATTCCGTTATGTAGGTTTATGGAGCATGCCTCCCATAGCTTCACAGAAGAGCCTGATAACAGAACTAGACAAAGCAAATTTATTCAAATTCTAACCCATAAGAGTTAAATAATCTAAGCAGCAAGCTTGGTGTAAAATAAGGCTAAACATGGGCCATCAAATTGAAAGAGCTCAGACACCTCTAAGGCAGATGCTTCTGAAACTGTAACTGAAATGGGAATTATCCTCACAATCTGTACAGTAACAGAGGGAAAAACAACCCCAGCTTCTTCCACAAACAGTTCCCACGACGACGCTCATCATTTTAGGTTTCTAACTAAACATTTGCACAAACTGGCTACCTCTTTATTTTTTAGTTATGACTCATTCACTAGGAAGATGCTATTTTTCTAAATTCGGCTTGTCACCAATAGTGCAGGAGTGTGGGCAAGCAGAGCCCCATGAGCCTTCGGTGTGAGGGGCAGCCATGCATGAGGGCTGCCCTAAGCACTTCCACTCGCAGCCTGGTGGGCCAGGCTTCAGGTGCAAATCCAGAGGCTACATCCTCTCCACCAGCTGGGAATGTCCTACCTGATACCTCGTCAGCGAAATTCACAAAAAATGTTAAACGTCCTGATGGAACAATATAGCCCACATCTTCAACCCTCTGTCCCAGGACTTCTGGAGAGTTGAAAGAGGATGTACGAGAAAGAAACGCAGCGGTCGTAATGCCGATAGTAGCACCCAACGTGGGATGCATTCAAGCTACAATGAGGTGATCTCACAATCTCTGGTTCGTTCAATCTCTGGTTTCTCTGGTTCACCTTATCGTTGACTGTATGCACTAAGATACTCGTGCAGGCAGCCATAATTTGCTTGTGTTTATACAGCATATTTCCAACCCAAAAGTCAAAGATTGAGCTTAAACTGACAATAATACTAAAAGGCAGTAATTTCATTACACGAAAATGTGGAGGAAAAAAGAGGCTGTCAGCTTGGTGAGAACTCTCTGAGGACAGAGTGAACCAGAAGGGAACCCCACTGTGAGTGGGGGATGCCGTGTGTCACACACCCCTACCTGAGGCTGGGTGTGCACAGTGCTCCCCATCCCTCAGCAAATGATCCGCTCTTGTAGCTTCGTCAGCATTCGCTGCAGGCTCGTCTGTCTTAGCTTCTGGTAACTTCAGAAATCCACAAATGATGGGGGCGGGGGAGGAAGGAATTTTACATTATTTTCAACTAATTCCCAACTTAAGGGATCCAAAGACATAGTTTAACCAAATAAATAAACTAAAGCAAAGCACAAACAAAAGCCACCTGTTGGTAAGTTCTGATGGCCTAGTGGCAAGAAGCTGCACTGCAATCCCAGAGGTACACGGTTCAAATCCACCAGATGCTCTGCTGAAAAAGGAGGAACAACCGCCTCCTGTACCAGTCAGATCCGATTTGACGGTACACACATTAAAAAGAAAAGAAAAGAAAAAGCCACCTGTCTATTGAAAAATGAACAAAGGTTTCTGTTTTTCCAAATTTTTCATGAGGCAGTACGCATTTTATTTCAAATTATGCAGCGCTGAGTGTCCCTAACAGTTAGGGCTTTATTTTTATTATTTTTATTGTATGTGTGTGTATCATCAAATCGGATCTGACTGGTACAGGAGAAGATTGCTCTCTTAATCCAGCAGAGCATCTGGTGGATTCGAACTGTGCACCTCTGGGATTTCAGTGCACGAAGCTTCTTGTCAACAGTTGGGCTTTACACTTAGCTAGAACTGGGTTCAAACCCAGGCTTCACTCACATTCGTCATGATCATGTACACAGCCCAGAAAGTTGCTCGAGGATAAAGGAAACTGGTAAATTATATAGTGCTTTTCCACTTTAATTAGCCTGTAATATGTTACTCTGAAATGCCCGAAGTTAGGGTTTATAAAATAAGATGTCATTTACATATTACAAAACACTAACTTAAATGATAATCATTCACTTCTTAAAAATTGAGAAAACCCCATCACAACACAGCTTTCGGGATGATTCCTCAATCTCTAAAGCACAAGTCCCTGTCGGGTGGATATGTGGACCTTGGTATTATTATCTGCTCTACTTGTGTTTAAAATTTGCTGTAAAAAAGAGTCAAGGGAAAACAACACATTAGGACAATCGTGGACTCCCTAACCCGGTGTCGGTCCAGGCACCCAGTGGACACCCCTGAAGTCGCCTGCTTAGGGTCAGTCTGGGCTACTATCTTCCGTAAACTCTTCTAGCCCAATCTTATTTAACATGCAAGAACTTTATCTTCACTTACTAAAAAGAGATTTTGTAGTCAAATACCTCTTAATCCTAAAACACTTCGTTTCTGCTCTGCATGAAGTAAAATAGGCTTTTCAAAAAAGCACATGTATATTCTATAATGACCGAGGAGGGAACAGGGAATGACTTCCAAATGATTTGCGAAAAAGAGGTGATATTAGGTTTCCCTTTCCTTTCAGGGTATTCAGGAAATTATGGAGAGAGACAGACAGCTAGGCGAGGGGACAGGGAGGAGTAAAGCTTCGCTCCCCTCGCCTCAGTTTAATGTACGCTCAGGAAACGTTAGGCACTTAATGGAGGTGGTTTGTAGCAGAACCCCCTCCAGGAAGTGTGGTACTAAATTATTCTCTTCTGGTTGGCAGCACTACACCAGAGTGCAGAGCAAATTATTCTCCTTAATGATGATAATGTGAAGAGCTGTGAGGAGTTGCAGCGGCTGTTTCAAAGCACTAAGGTCATCAGGGAGAGTGGGGAAAGAAATTCTCTTCCTTAATTATCTTCACTTCATAAAATGAGGGGAAATTCTTATAAGAATACTCCTGAAACATGAATGGCATTTTAGTTCCTTTGCAATTAGTAATTTTGGTTTTTTGACATGGAATTTAAAATGTATGCAGCTGAACAAATCATAACCTAAAAGGAAGTATAAAGAAATTGAGTGGTCATAGTAAAAGTTAAAGACAAGTAGTTAGACTTGCCAAGAATGTATGAAAACTCTTGGAAATTGGGTGGTTCTCTATAAAATTGAGAAAGTCAAAACATGGCATTAACCTAGAAAGAACAGCAATGAAATACTTTTGTTACATAAATATGTCAGCAGGCACCTGGTTTTTTCTCTTCCTCTCTTCCTCCAGGTCATATTCCTCCTTTGATTTTCTGGAATACAGAAAAATAACGTGAGAAAATAAAATTTCTTCTTTTGGTCTAAGAGTATGTTCATAGCTGACCCTCCAGAAGGTTTTCTGAGGCTGCAAACTGCACGGGAGGAGATAGTCCACCTTCTAGTAGAGCAGCTGATGGATTCAACTGGTAGAGAAACATTGCCTTGCTGTCTGCAGGACAACTCCCCAACCAAAGGTCCCCGATAAATGAAACTGCTGTTGTGTCTCATCGAGTCACCACTCAGCTGAACGCCCAGTGGGTTTTCAGAGGCAGTAAATCACACAGGAAGAGACTGTCCATCCTTCTCCCGGGAGCAGCTGATGGAGTCAAAAGGCCTGCCATTGGTTTGGCAGCACAGCTCCTTCCCACAAAGCCACCCGTGCTCTCTAATATATACACATACATTATCGCTGCTGTCGTGTGCCATCGAGCCGACCACAACTCACAGGAACCCTCTGAACAAGGGCTGTGAACCTTGCCCCACCCTGCGCTCCTCACCGTCTCCAACACGTTCCAGTCCCTGTATCACTCCACCTCACTGACAGTCTTCCCCTCTTATGCTGACCCTCCACCTTTCCAGCAGGACACCCTTCTCCAAGGGCTGGTCATTACAGGGTATTTAGTAGGGAATTTTCGCTATTTTATTGGTTCATAATCCTTTCTACTTTAAAAGCACATCTTATAATATTACCATTAATTGATTTAAAAAATCATTAAAGAATGGTACCTAAGAACTTCTCTCAGGATTTTCATCTCTTCCTGTTCGAGGTCACTAACCACATCAGAACCATCTGTTAGACAGTCAGGTAACACACCTGTTCAAAACCAAGGAATATATGAGATAAAGACGTATTGAAGAACATCAGTTCAAACAAAACATTTACTGCACCCTGTTACAGTTCATCAGGAAATACAAATTTATGGAGCTCTACCGTTTAAACGTTCTAAGCTAACACCTCTTTCTTTTTTACAGACTCATTTCTTATGCAACAATGAATGTTTTGGTTTATTTTTAAGTGAACTAGGGGTTAGGGAAGAAAATGTGTAACAATGAATGAATGAAAAACCTAACTTTTCAGTAAACTTTTGTTTAAATCACTATAATTTTTTTTTAAAAAAAGACTAATTCTCCCACCCAACATCCACAAATGCAAAACAACAAATTTACTGGTTGAAACAAATGCTTCTTAGCAATTACTTGTAATGTTGATTTAAAATAATAATACAAGTCACTACTACTTCCTGTAAGCACATTGCTGTTATTATATGCTGTCGTTGTTGTGTACGGGAGAGTTGGAACCGGCCCGTGGTTGACCCTCTGGTGGACTTTAAGAGGCACTGAGAGACGATTTCCCATCTTTCTCCTGTGGAGCAGCTGGTGGCCTTGAACTGTGTGCTTTCGGGATTGCAGCACAGCTTCTTGCCCATAGGCCACCAGAGTGCTCTAAAAACAGCCTGAAAAGATGTCATAGAAAAACTACTAGCTTAGGATGCTAATTAAACTATGCTCATAAGTCAATTCAACTCGTTGCTGCCAAGTCAGAATCGACTCATCGCGGACCCTCCAGCAGGTTTTCAGAGACAGTAAATCACACATCTCTCTCCCGCGGAGCAGCTGGTGGATTCAAACTGCCACGTTTGGGTTACCAGTGCATTTCCCTGTGAACTATGCCCCCCAAGAGCCCAAAAACGTTTTATTCAAGTGGAAAAAGAAAAACCAAATAAGATCTTTTAACTGAAGTCGTTTGCTGATACTCTTAATTCTTGTTACAAACAACTATTATTTAAGAGAGTCTTGCTAACAACATACAAAGAAAGTGTGATGATAGGGTCTGTGGGAGGATTTTAAGATGAAAACAGTAACCTCTGACTTTGGAAATTCTGTCACCAATAAAGTAACTACAAACCAGGGCAAAACCCACACCTCACACCAAGACAAGTACTTTTTAGTCCCAATTTACTGACTTTAGAAGCAGGTAAGTTACAATAGGTGCTTGATTCTTACTTATCCTTATTGTTTTCCCAGTAACATTTCACAGGATGTCTATCAATTTTCCCCTTCTATTACTTTATCCATATCTGACTTTGGGATTTTTGGATCTGCTCTATATGAAAGTGGCTTTATTATGCTAATCCCCTTGATGGTTAAGCACATTTTTAAATTAACTTTTTATTTTGAAGTAATAGAGTCTATATGTGGTTGTAAAAAAAAGTAATAGAGAGATCCTGCAGAGCCCTTACCAGTTTCCCCCAATGGTCACATCCTGCAAAACTACAGTGCAATATCCCCACCAGGAAACATTATTACAGCCGACCAATCTTAAATGCATTTGTGCTCTTCAAAGATTTAAAATTAGAGTCCTCCTAATTAGTCTTTCTATGAACATTAAAAGCATTAAGGAAAGAGCACTACAACAGTGGAAAATACTTCAAGATCATCAAAAGTATGCTCCGATTCACTTTCCCCCGTGAGTCCTTGATACGATACATTCATGAACCCAGAGCGCCCTGGAGTTTTTGCACTACTAAGGTGATTTTAATGTCCTGCAATTTTAACAACAATCAACACAGCTATGAGGGTCTCTCCCCAAATCTAACTTGAGCAACATTCTTAATTAGAAATATTAATAACTGAGCCAGAAAGCAAGTACTGCTTTATGTTTTGCCCACTCTGTGGGGTGTGACAGAGGCCACTATTCTGAGTTATTCCCCTCCACCTCCTTTACTGACCTAAGCCAGATTTTATGCCTCTATCAGGTAGCCAAATACTTAAGAGGCCTATCCCTGACGCCCAGAGTGACTTATGATTGGTTTAAGCCAAGCTAATGACCTCATTTCCCTTGCCAGATAGTTTAAGAAGGATGTGTGACCCTAATCCCAAACAATAGTATCTGGGTGGACACTCCTGGGGCCAGAGCAGCACAGGTAGACACATGCTGTGTCTTTATGAGACACCGTGGAGTCTGCATCGATGGAGCCAGGGCACCAGCAGGAGAGGAAACATAGGAGTGGCAGGCTGTTGAGAGGTGTCAGGGTCTGTGACAGCAACCCTGGACCACTGAGTTAACCACGCCTGACCCTGGCTTCCTTCCCTTCCTTCCTGTGCACCGCTAGCTCTCTGTGATGAGAATTTCTTACTGCTTATCCCATGTCTACCGGGGTTTTCTGCCATTGACAGGAGGAAGCATCCAGCTGGTATACATGCTGCACATTAAGTTTTGGTATAACCTAAATTAAAAAAAGCTATACAGAGGGTTAAAACAAATTCTATCAATGGATAATGATTATTCAAATTCTTTATACCACAAGTGGGAATAAAGCATAATTTCAGAAAAAATTGGAAGAAAGGGTTTTAGAGTGCCAGCCACAGCAGAAAGATAAAGAGAGAGAGGGAGAGAGAGACCGCTTACTAAATTTATTTCTACCAAAGCACAGTACTGTGATGTGCATTCTGCATTGCAAGGGTGGAATCAGCTCTACCCACATATGTTGTTGTTATTGCTGATTGCCGTCGAGTTGAGCACAACTCATAGTGACTCTATGAACAAAATACCTAATGCCTAAGCTTCAATGATTTAGATCCTCCCAGAAGAGCTGTGGGTGAGCATTAACATTACTGGTAAGTATATTTGTTTTCTCCTGGACACAGAGCCTACTAATTGGTCCTAAAAGCCTTCTGAGGTCCCAACTCTTCTCACTATTTCTTAGTTGTTGGAATGGACGGAAAACGGCATAAGCAGTTCCTTACTTCACCTCTGCCTTGCATGTGGACTTCCGAATTGTAAAACAACCCAGTGGTAAATGGAATTTGTTCCAGGACTTAAGAACAGTAAATGACATAGCTGAGCCTCTACATCTTGTGGTTCCTAACCTGTACACTGTAATAGGCAAAGTGCTAGTCAATAGGCCTTTTATTGTAAGAACCACCTTCCCTCTGTAACTTGATTTGTGCCACTATTAGAACCTCTACTCGGAATATTATTGCTTTTTAATTTTTGACTCATGTACTTTTAACTTGTTAAATTTGTGTCTTCTAGGCTGCAACACTTCCATGATACATCTTCAAGGATATGAACATGTATGGCTAAGCACAACTGATAACAGTGAATCTAAATTCCAAAATCAATCTCCATAATAGTCTATGTGTTTCCTACTGCCAAAGGGGCCCTTTAGAGTAGTGAGAGAAGACTTTGGATGTTCCCCAAAGGGTAAGACCCACTATTCACTCAGGAGGCCCTAACTCTGATAAGTAGGAGGAGACACCAGTCACCTGCTCTCCACAGTAACTGTAAGTGTGACCACTAAGAACAACTGAATTTCCTGCACAAGAAAAGACGCCCTCAGAAAACTAACACACAGTCCCATCAAGTCTGAGTCTCTTCCTCGCTCCTTCCTCTAACACACACTAATCTACACATGTGACTCCTAAATATGTAAAGTCAATCAAAGACTTTCCAACTGGAAATAAAGACTCCAGGTAAGCTACCTGTATAACCATATGTGAATTAGAATATTTCAGACTGCAAAACATGCCATTAACTCTTAAAATTCAAACTTGAACATTTTACCGTTTCTCTCCTGAATTATCCGAATGGCTTGCAGCTGCATTTCAATGTTTTTCTGGACCATCATGGCTTTAAAGATGCTGAAATCTTCTGCTGCCAACACAGGCTGCAAGATGGCCTGAGGAGAGAAATGCACAGGTTATACGGCCGGCCACATGCTGACCACTTCCAGGGCACAACGGTGCATTCCTGCAAGCATGCTGTGCTGTTATCTAATGGTCAAGGACTCAAAAAAGACAATGTCATGATTTTATTTTCAAAGTTAAGTCAGGTTCTTAAAAGGTTGATTCTCACAACTCTGCGCCTCTAGGAAGCAGAGGTGGATGGTGAGACGTTTTACCAGGACAAAATGAGCCAGTACTAAGTGACTCCTAAGAACAAACCAGGAGTGAGGTTTACCTTTGAAAAATTACTATACTCCAGTTAAGGGAAGTTACTCACACTTCTGTAAAGGGGAGTCAGTTATTACACTTTAGTAAAGGGAAGTTACTATACTTCAGTAAAGGATGCTCTGGTGGCTAAGTGGTAAGGAATACTACTGCCAACCCAAAAGCAGGCAGTTCAAATCCACCAGCTGCTCTGCAAGAGAAACATGGGTAATTTCCTCCCCAGGGATTTACAGCCTCTAGAAACTTGCTGGAGGGTCAGCTATGAGTGGATTCCAACTCAACGGCACGTAACAATAACACTTCCATATCTGGATTTTTGCCCTTCAAATAAAATAATTTAGTTCTTTTTTGTGCTCTTGCTTGATACTTGTTGTTGAATGGTCAACCCGTTAACTATAAAAAAATATTTCTTAATAAATATAATCCATTAAAATTGAATGCCAACAAAATGGTAAGTCAGTCTAATTAGGTATTAGTAAAAAAGAACACAACTGGAGATGCCCTATATGCAGAAGAGTTTTATGGAAGAAGTGGAGTTAGAAATTAAGATAAAGTAGAACAGAAATATATAAATATGAACACTTTAAAAAGGAGAGGGTCTAAAAAAAAGGAGAGGGTCTACCCTAGAGCACAGCTGAAAATATTATAATATAGGCTTTAAGACTCAGAATTTGATGAGTTCAGAAGGCATTCAAACACGTTCATGTTCACACTCAACTAAGCCTTGGGGTCGCCAATCATTATCTTTTCTTATCATTAATCGCATAACAGGTTTAAACTGCACCCAAGATTCTCGGCATTTGCACTGTTCCATCGAGATGCTCTGTGTACAGGCTACTTCAGAGAGCCCAAGCCTTGACAAACCCCCTTGTGAGTCCACACCCATGAACAGTGCAGTACACACAGGAAAGAAGAAACAGCTGCTATTACAAAAGGACCATGTATGCTGGTTGGCTCACTAATAAACTAATTAATCTCATTACTCACATTCCCAGATCACTATAAAGGAGATTACAAGGGATTTTCAAGCTGCTCAGTGGCACAATACTCAATCAAGTAGCAGTGATGGACTTTTAAATGGGCTAAGACTTGATGCAGAATGCCTGCTCAAAATAACCCAAACCAAACTCACTGTCAAGTCAGTTCTGCCCCACAGAAGCCCAAAAGGGCACAGCAGAACTCTTCTATTTAGCTTCCTCTCAGAACAGTGATCAAAAGCTCCAAGATCTTCAAAGACCTAAGTCAGAAAAATTAACAGGTTTGGTGGCATAGTCCATAAGGAAGACCAGTGCTAACACAAAGGCTATGCACAAGTCTGGAGCAGTTCAGATCCATCTTTGAGGGAGAAAGATGGGCAACCTCCTCCTGTTCCATTTACAGCCTCAGAGACCCAGTATAGGATCAGCTCCGTTCTGAGACAGTTCCAACTTAATGGCATGAGTTTCTGAGTGAATACACACCCACGTTCACAAGAAACTGAAGTATTTCTTTTATATTTACTTTTCTATATGAGCTGATGCCTTTCAGTTGTGGCGCTGAAGAAGAGCACTGAGTAACCATCCCATGACAAACAGGTCTGTCCTGGGGAAAGTGAAACCAGGGTGCTCCTTAGAAGCAAGAGTGGTGAAACTTCATCCCACATACTTTGGCATGCTGTTAGTAGGGCAAGTCTTTGCCAGAGGACATCATGTTGGCAAGGTGGAGTGCAAGTGTACCAGGGGAAGACCCTCAACAAGAAGGACTAATGCAGAGACTGTAACAATAAACTCAAGTTATCAGAGATGGTGGGGATGGCACAGAATAAGGCAGGGTTCAGACCCACTGTTCACAGGGTTGCATGAGTCATAGTTGACCCAATGGCACATAAAAACAATAACAATTCCATTTCCTCATCTCTAAGATAAAGAGAATAACATTTTTATTTCTCAGGTTTAATGTTAACATCAAATGAACTCAGATTAAAAGGTGATTAGTACAGTGTCTGGCACATAGTTAAGTGAGTGTTTCCACTAAAATAAAACCCATGAGACAGAAATTCTGTCTGTTGTGTCATCACTGTAAACTCTAACCGAGATGGTGCTATTTTGTGGAGCACAGAAGATACTTAACATGTGGGGAGAAATAAATTCAAGCTAATAAAACAAAAATGAATATCAAAGGGAAAAAATACCATTTTCAACACCTAACATAAGGTATAAATTATGGATGTTTATAAAATTTCAGTTTCTCCATTAATCTTTGTAGTTGTTGTTGTTGTTGCTGGCAGGTGCCATTGAGCCGAGTACAATTACAGTGACTCTATAAACAGATCTGAAACCTGTCCTATCTGACACCATCCTCAGACTTCCTGACACACTAGAACCCACTGTCGCAGTCACTCTATCAATCCGGCTGGCTGAGAGTCCTCTTCTCCCTCATCATCCCTCCACCTTTCCAAGCATGATGTTCATCTCAAGGTCGAGCTCCTCCAACAACATACACAAAGTATATGAGATGAAGCTCATCATTTTGGCCTCCAAGGAGCACTCTGGATGCATGTTCTCCAAGACACATCTGTTTTTGGCAGTCCATGGAATATTCAGTACTTTTCTCTCACACCGAACCACAAAGGCATCAATTCTTCTGTCATCCTTGTCCATGGTCCAGCTCACAGATGCAAAGCAAGTGACTGAAAAGACTATGACCTGAATTAAGCAGACCTTATTTCTCAAACTGACATCACTGCTCCTCAACTATTCAGAGACAATTTCCACAAACAGAAGAATCACTATGTATTCATACGTCGTGTCATATAAAAACTAAGTCCAAATGGATCCAGTATCCAAATGTAAGAACTAAAGGAATAAATGCTCACAAGGATGCATAGAACTGAAACAGTTAATTTCATAGAAAACAAATTCGAGATGACCTCTTCAAAAGGAAAAACCTGTTCACCAAAGTACTGTGTCAACAAAGGGAAAAGACCGTCCTGCAGACAGGGAAAAGTTGAAGTAGCCATCTATTTGATAAGGTTTTAATATCCAAAATATATAAAGAAGGTGGATATGTCTAATCGTACAACCACTATGGAAAGCCATCTGGTGTTCCTTAGAAAACTGAGAATGGAAATACCGTGTGATCCAGTGATCCCACTATCAGGTCTGTATCCTAAAGAAATAAGAGTTGTGACATCAATAGACATATCCACACCATGTATCCTGTAGTACTATTCATACACAGCAAAGAGCTGGAGACATGGGGCCTCATCAACGGATGACTGTCGGGAAAAACACCACCAACAATGCAGTATCACGCATCACGAAAAAATGATCAAACATTACAAAAATGAGAGATCATCTCATCCCAGTCAGAATGGCAAAATTTAACAGAACAGCAAGCAACAAATGCTGGCAAGGTTGTGGAGAAACTGGAACCCTGATTCACTGTTGGTGGGAGTGTAAAATGGTGCAACCACTGTGGAAGGCGGTATGGCATTTTCTCAAAAAGTTGCAAATAGAGATACCATTTGACCCAGCAATTCCACTACTGGGAATATACCCCAGAGAGACCATAACTACATCCAAGCAGATATAAGCACACCCATGTTTATCATGGCTTTGTTCACAATAGCAAGGAGTTGGAAATAACCCAGGTGCCCATCAACAAACGAATGGATAGAGAAGCTGTGGTATATTCACACAATGGAATACTATGCTGCATTGAAAAACAAGGAACTCATGCAATATTCAAAATGGGTGACCCTGGAGGACATTATGCTGAGTGAAATAGGTCAGTCACAAAAGGACAAATACTGCCTGGTGCCACTGCTGTAAAATGGGACTGATATCAGGGTTGGGGTAAGACTGAGAAAAACTGGATAAATTATGTATACTGCATTGAAACAGATGAGGGAGAGAATAATGTAAAAGCGATATATGATAGGGCATTATAGTTATCACAAGAGTCCACAATTAAGGTTGCACAGTGGAGTGTACTTGGGGTAGTGGGAGGGGTGCGGGGGATTGTATACCAAAGAAAGAATTTTTCTTTTACTTTTCAAAGAGAGGAGCGAACTGGGGGTGGGGGGTGGGGGGGCGGGGGGGGCAGGGAGAAAAGTACAACAATGAATGAATGGAAATCCAAAATCTCTGTAACTGTTCATTAAAATTATTTTTAAAAAAAGAATAAAAAAATGATCAAACATTAATAAAATAGTGCCCAACACGGAGGAAACTGGAATGAATTATGCTGATTGTCATATGTCAATCACAAAAGGACCATTATGGTATAGGAGCAGTAGTGTAAAAAAAACTAGGAAACTGTTCACATAGAATTGATCCTGGAGGGTTAACAGAGATGAGATGTGAGGGAAAGGGCAGCAAAATAAAATAAAACCCAAGTAAACGAAGTAATTCTATCAAGAACTTTGCAACTTAACAACAGAAAGCCAAACAAAAGTATGGAGAAAGGATTTCGGAAGACATCGTAAGTCTGAAATGAATGGTCAATAAGCCCAAGAAGACATGTTTACAAATACTAGGAGACATACCTATTAAAACTACAATAACTATCCCTTTACATCCACTAAGGTAACTGGTGGTGGTGGTGGTGAGTACCATGGCGGTAGAACCGACCCGTAGCTGACCCTCCAGCAGGTTTTCAGGGGCTGTTAATCGCACGGGAGGAGCAGAGCAGCTGATGGCCTTGAATAGCTTCCTTTCAGGATTGCAGCGCAGCTTCTTGCCACTAT